GTCATCTTCAGGGCTTACATAAAGGACATAAGAAAAGCGCCAGATTTTATTCCCTGAATATGTGTTTTTCTAAACTACCTCATTCTTGACAGCTCACGAATTCGACAAGTTATTGATATTATTTTCTCTGCTTTGTAGAACGGAGAGTGTTCGGGTGCATTTTTAGATCTCCCAAGCTTTTGACTGGGTCTGACATCCACAAACTAAAACAGTTCCTACTAAATCCTTATTACCAAATCCTACTAACCGACCACTGCTTCTTCAGAGTGAGATGCGACAGCGAGGTTTCGGAAGTCGACCATCAAAAAAGCATTCTTGTTCCATTCCATTTATACTGCTAACCTGCCAATATACCGTAATAAATCGTACCGTAATTTTATTTCCTAACTCCAATCCTACCCAAGCTACTTCCCATATCCAGGAAGAACTTGAGTTCATTGAAGAATGGTGAAAACCTTGACAACGTCTATACGTCAACAGTGAAGACCTACCTGCATCTACTCAAGTAAAATACTTAGAGCTGTACATAGTAGACTGACGTGGAATCCTCACACAAGACTCAAGCTACAAAAGCTAAATAGACGATTTTGGTAACAACGAAGACTTATAGGACTGAAATCAAGCATGACTCTAGAGGACGTACAAAGCATTCGACCTATTTGGACGTACGGAGCTGTGGGTACCACCAAGCCAACTAGCATCCCACGAATCCAAACATTCCAATTCAAAGTCCTCGGAAGACTTCCCCAAATTCCTTAGACTTCCTATACTCACAATTTCCTTCGTAAAAGAATTTATCCTTTCCCGCTTATTCAAGTTTCATTCCAATCTTACAACCCATCCTTAACTCTTCTGCTAACTCGCACCTCAAAGGACCTCCTCGCCTGCCTTATAGACAACCGAGTGCCAGCACTAGCCAGCTTGTCATAACACGTGTGTGATACTGGCCTTTGAGTTAGAGTTTTCCTGGGATTTTATACCGTTAAGAACAACTTGTAACGTTTATAATGTTCAAAATACAAACCAGTTTGTGATCATAGAGAGATCTTAGTTTGATTTATTTTAACCCCTTAAAGCTTAAGTTGAAGTGAAAGCTTAACAATACGAGTTTTAAAGTTATATATTTCTCCCCAGCTTATAATTATAATAGCTGATAAAAATAGATAAATGTTTAAAACTTAGACTAGTTTTTGAGTGTTGGACAAGACGTTTTCTCAGGAGCGTTTATTGGTTGTTATGGAATCAAATCCTGATCGAAATTTACTCATCAAAAATTAAAATTTTTGATTAAACACCTGATTTTTTATCCTAATTCATAATTGCTTCATTGCAATTTAGTACTCTCGAGACCTTAAAAGGCCGTTTTAAATTACTTTTATCCCCGGTAGAACAAAACGGGAGCCGGATACGCAGTCGTCGCCCGTAGGACCGACGATAAGAAACGATTTGGTACTGTTACAACAATGCCGATCGAGCCTCCAATTTTCCGAACAGTTATAATTTATTATGCGGGTACATCGACGGTCGAAAAATATCGGGTAACGGGTTGCACCGTGGGAAGAAGCCGGCCGGGGCCGATGCGTGCCGTACCGCCAAGCCTCACCGGAGACCTGTGTCAACCACGACCACACGCCAATTATCCGCACTGTATAATAAACAGTGCTGAATGTATAAATATGCGCGAATGGGCGGCCGTGACGACAATCGGTAACAAAAGTGTTCGGACCTGTCTGGGAAGGTCGGCCTTTATTAAGCATCTCGGGCTTAGAATATATATCATTACACGTCTCAAAATTAACCCAACAGCCCATCATTATGTAATTAAAAAAATTAATTTGAGCTTTTAATCATTATAATCCTTTCGGGCTAGTCTATCTTTTTATACATAATCTCCAGAGCGTTTATTTCTCTAAAATCACCTAGTTCCTTCAGAAAGTGCATACATTATTTGATTTTTCTTACGAAATCTTTTTCGTGATGAGCTGATTTAAACCAAACTTGCTTAGACATATATTTTTTATAATATAACACGTGTTTCAATTAACCCTTAATTGCCCAACGTTGGCTCGGGACAACACCAAATTTAGCAAATTTGCGACAGCTTAGCTAATTCGTTGAGGTGATGTTCCTTCAATTTTTATCCCATGTATTGGCAACACTGAATTTTTTGGCGCCAATCTAAAATCTCCATCTTGGAACCTTCTTTCTCCAACATGGCTCTTCACCCAACACTGCATCTTGTATCGATTGTTATATTTACCAAACATAAAAATTTTCATATCCAATTTATACTTTAACCCTTTCTTGCCCAAAGTTGCTATAGAGCGATGCCAAATTTAGAAATTTTGTTTAACGTTAGAACGAAATGTCGCGAGTTTAGGGCGGGGTAGTATTGTTTCATCCCGGGTATTGGCAACACTGAATTTTTTGGCGCCAATCTAAAATCTTGTAATCTATCTCCCACATGGCTCTTCACCCATCACTGCATTTGTAACGATTGGTGTATTTACCAAACATAAAAATTTTCATATTCAGTTTATAATTTAACCCTTGCTTGCCCAAAGTCGCTACAGAGCGATGCCAAATTTAGCAAATTTTCAACAGCTTAGCTAATTCCGTAGTTTAGGTCCGGTGATGTGTTTTCCCTTCAAATTGTATCCTGGGTATTGGCGACACTTATTTTTTGGCGCCAATCTAAAATCTATCATTGAACTCATTATTCCAGCTGTCCTTTTCACAAAATTGCTAACGTTCGTCTTGCTGTAAGACACCATTAGGCCGTAAAGGACTAATGGTAATTTTCATTTGTGAGGCTGTCTTTCGGAATGGAACAAGTTGCCAGTTCGTTACACATAAAATCGATTCGGTCGAAAAATTTGAACTCTCTGAAGAAGAATTCTGACCGCTTAGAATCGGACGCTTTATGGAAAAAAGTGTGTTGCTTTATTATCCCTCCTCTCGATTTCTTTTTTTCTATGGACAATGGACTGTGGAGAATTTGAATGCCCGCTTTTTAATGTTTAGTTTTGCCATTCGCGTAACGGCTCGACCTGAAATGGCGTCAACACGTCCGAGGTGGGAGGATTTCAATAAATTAACGACTTTTACCCAATTTTCGAGGCCGAAGGATAACGAGACCCGGTTAGAGACCGGACGCCTTCGTTCCTGGGGCGTTCAAATCACTTTCTTCCTCGGCTTCCGGCTCTAGGACTAATAAATTTTCGACTTTTTAAACTTGAAAAAATATTTTTTTCTTTTGACTAAGAGTTGTTTTTATTGAAATATCAATAAAGATAAATTTTTGTAAATTGGGTCAAAAAGTAAGTTATGAGATTTCTTAAATCCTGACGTGTTGAAACGTTTGGTCGTTTCCGGTCATTCTGGTCTTACTATATTTTTGACTGTCAGGCATTTTTCGACATTTTTGTCAAATTGGTTGTTTTGTTGAAAATGGCGAAATGCTGAAACTCGCCTAAAAGAAACAAAAACACCGACTAGGATGAAACGAATAACGACCAAACTAACCAAAGTTTTGTAACGTTTTGAAAATCGGCAAACAGTTGATTTTTTTATTTGGAGGATTTCCCTTGGGATTTCCTTCCTACTAGGCTGGAATAAGGGATGAACTTTAAGTTTGGTGATTTCTGACCGTTTTGACCTGTCTATCCTCACTGTTTTCGTTTCAGTCGCATTTTGGCATTTTTTCATCTTCAGTGGGTAGTGTTTCTTTCTGAAAATAGAGAAATGTCTTTTTTATATATGCAAAAATACAGGGCGATTTTTTTAACGAAGGCAAATTAAAAAATAAATAAAATACAAGTACTTTATGGTTTCTGATGTACTTTATTTTGGCTAATACCGATTAATTTTTTACCTTAATAAACGCATCTAATAGAGACAAAGTCAACACGGATAAAAATGATCGTAAACGACGGAACTATGTTTCAACGAACGAATTAAACGAACTGTAATTAAAGCAATAAATTGAAAATTGGATATGGATGTTAAGACGTGAAAGCTGTCACCAATTTTTCTTTTTTAAGAATTTCTTTTGTTGTTCTAAACTAATGGGTTAAAATATGAAATGAACCTGTAGTTTGGTCAGTTTCGATCATTTCCACTTGAGTGTTCTCACGGTTTTGTTTTGACACTCGCGTTTTGGCATCTTGTCTACATCGTGGATTGTTGTTCTTGATGAAAATGCAAAAGGTGTCTGAAAGATACAAAATCAACAAATACAAGAGATAAGAATTATCGAAAACGACCAACCTATTATTTATTTAAAAAAATTAAAAAATATAATAAAATGACGATTGATTGGCAATAATTCTTCTTTTTTAAAGGATTTATTTGTCATTCCTGCTGGGCTAGGTGTGAGATGGGCCTGTTTCCGATCACCCTAGTCTGCCTAGTCTCGCTGTTTTAATACAATGGTAAAGGAAAATGTTTCAGGAATCAGTAACAAGTTTACTTATTATTTCTTTAATCTGAAATTATTCCGAATGTTAGATTACGATTGAGTCAGTTGAGATGAAAAGAGATAGAGAGTAGAGAGTTAGAGTTCCCCTAAGTTCTGCGGGTTGATGCATCTATACCGGTCCGCCTAGAATCGCTGGTTTATTCTTAAACATGTCAAATGGCGAAAAACACGTCTGACCGATACCAGCCAAGAAATATCATTTTATCAAAACCGATGTATTTTTTAACGAGATCCAGTGATAATAGAAGACCGCGGTGGCAGAATGATTAGGGCGACCGATTCGTATTTGCCAAAGAGGTTTTCTGTCACGGCAACCCACTAGAATTTTAATCAAGAATTATATGTTCAAAATATTGTAAAGTGGTTTGACACTCGTCCGCGACACGCAATTGATAGTTGGACGTTAAACTCTCCTATAAGGCAAGAATTACTTTTGCTTAACGATAATGAATAAACAAAACATAATAACTTATGTAACGAGTGTTAAAACAATCTTTTAACAGAATTTTTTTTTTTACAGAAAATTAAACGAACAGAACGAGCGCCATGGGGGCGTTGTTACACGAGACGGTATGGCTCCTGCTAATGGTTTGCGTTTTTGGATTAGCGACAGGAGGTAAGAAGCGTTCAAATTAAAACATCCGTACTTCGCTAGTGGAAGAAAAAGGCCAAATATCTTTGGATATACATATTTAGGAAAAGATACCGAACAGAACCAATATTCCACTAGGGCAACCAGTAACAAGACCCTTATCTAATTTCGTCTGTGATAAGGAGACTTGCACTGTTAGATTTCCTCACGAGTTCTACGGGTTTAAGCATCTATACCAGTCCGCCTTATCTCGTGGTTTTACTCTTACAAAAGACTAACAGACAGCTGAAACTGGCGAAAATCACGTCTGAAGAAAAATAAATGTTCCTAGATATATTTGAGATACGATATTGGACAGGTCCAAAATGTTACTAGTGCAAGATAACCAAACGTTCCTACTTATACTTGATTTCTGGTATTGGCCAAAAACGTATCATAACTAGTACAAAAAGAGTAAATGTTTCTAAATTTATTTGAGTTAATTTAACGTTCACAGGACCAATATTTACCTAGTACAAGAATAGTAACTGTTATTAAATATATTTGTGTTAATTTACGTCTATGGGACCAATATTTAACTAGTCCAAGGAAAGTAACTGTTATTAAATATATTTCAGTTAATTTAGCGTCAACAAGGTCAAATTTTCATTAGTTCTAGAACAGTAAATGTTAGTAAATATATTTATGTTAATTTATCGCCTACGGGACCAATATTTAACCAGCACAAGAAGAATAACTGTTATAAATTTATTTCTGTTAATTTATCGTCGAGTAGACAAATATTTAACAAGTACAAGTTGAGTAAATGTTATTAAATCTAATTGTGTTAATTTATCGTCTAGTGGACCAATATTTAACCAGCACAAGAAGAGTAACTGTTATTAAATATATTTCTGTTAATTTATCTTCTACTACGGGACCAAAATTTCACTAGCACAAGAAGAGTAACTGTTATTAAATCTGATTGTGTTAATTTATCGTCTAGTGGACCAATATTTAACTAGTGCAAGTTGAGTCAACATTATTAAATCTAATTGTGTTAATTTATCGTCAACAGCGCCAAAATTTCACTAGCACAAGAAGAGTAAATGTTATTAAATTTGGTTGTGTTAATTTATCGTCTAGTGGATCAATATTTAACTAGTGCAAGTTGAGTCAACATTATTAAATCTAATTGTGTTAATTTATCGTCTACAGGGCCAAATTTCACTAGCATAAGAAGAGTAAATGTTATTAAATCTGATTGTGCTAATTTATCGTCCAGTGGACCAATATTTAACTATTACAAGAAGGGTAGATGTTATTAAATATATTTCTGTTAATTTATCGTCTACAGAATTATATTTAACCAGTACACGAAGTGTAAATGTTAGTAAATATAATTGAGTTAATTTATCGTCTACGGGACCAATATTTAACTACCACAAGACGAGTAAATGTTATTAAATATAACTGTGTTAATTTATCGTCCACAAGAATAATATTGAACTAGTACAAGTTGTAATTCAAACTATGTATTCAACTTTTTCAAATAACTTCAAGTTTTACTTCAACTAGTACAAAATGTTATTCAATTTTTTTCAGTTATTTGATCGTCTATATGACCAATATGTAATTAGTAGAAGTCGAGTAAATGTTATTAAATATATTTGTGTTAATTTATCGTCCACAAGGCCAATATTTAACTAGTACAAGAAGAGTAAATTTTCTCCGTTATATTTGAGTTAGATTTGCCAAAGGACCAAAATTTCACTAGGATAAGAATTTTAAATGTCTTCTGTTATATTGCAGTTACTTTGCCATCCACTAAATTTTCTTGGTTATGAAGTGAAGTTGCATAATCATTGAACATATTTATTTTGTATGTCTATTTTCTCTTTTATAAAAGATAGAAAAATCATTTGTTAATTTAAAAACAATGAATGGGACAATGCTTGTGCTTAATAAGTCATGAGTTAGGTCGTTTATTTGGCGTTAATTAATCAAAGAACACTCTTAAGGATTTTTCGTGTATTGATCTTTTTTGTTTCGTCTTAGCGCACTTCGGGATCGTCGAACCCAATATGGGAAAAATTGCGATCTGTGCAGAGCTGCAGAAGCAGTATTGAAATGCAACTTCGCCCTCCGGGCCCATTGTTCACACGCAGGACTTGGCAAGTTGACCACATTCTTTACCGCTTCATCATCTTAATGGGTGACGAGAATCATCCAACATCCCCGTTCCCATCCCCGGGACATTTTCTCTGGAAAATAAAATCCGCGATCCGCCTCTTCGTTCTCGTCCCCAGAGGGCATTAGATTTATCTAATCTTTGAAATTCGCCGTCGAAGCGTATCTCCCCGTTTATCCGACAAACGACGCCAATAAAATCCTAAGCCTAGATAATTTGATGTCCGTGGTCTATCTTTACAACCGGACTGACTACGGACCAACACGGTAACGAGGCTCGTAACAAAATGAAGAACCGTGCGATAATTGTTTTAAAAAAATCAAGTCCGCTAGAACAAGACACTTACATATACTGAAATCTGGGTGTTGTAATTTTATAGCTTCTTCGGCAATTTTTCATCCTGTCAGATAAAACTTTGGAGACAATGGGAAAAGAAAAACGAGTTTTCTTTCCTTCCTGTATTGTTTGTTTGAGGTTAAACTTGATACCGTTTGATATGGATATTTAACTTCAAGAGTTTTGGTCGGATCTTCCGAGATGGTTAAATCGATTTGTAACCCGAGGTAAATCCCATGTTGACACTCAGACCGTGTAATCAATCCCAACACGGAGGTCAGTTTTTAAAGCCGACTTCCTCCATCGATCAAGGAAGCTCGTCCACAATGGCCAGCGCATGATCCCGAGGGCACCGACCTCCAACTCCTCAGAGGATTAATTATTCGCATTCCTTATAATTAGCTGCAGGTGACAGAACCCGGCCATTACAACTTCCGGGCGAGTTCATTTGGCTATCGCGTATAAATTCGAACATATGCAAATTTGATTTACTGCCGATAAAAAGATTTAGAAAACCGGGTCCGACCGGCCGGCTCTAACGGGCCGCGGCTGGGAACACTGTTAGTCACAGGGCTGCGTCAAATTTCATCTCTGACAGCCACGCATTCACCGTGTCTGAATTAACGGGTTAAAAACAACTCCAATTTGGAAGTTTCAAAAATCCCCGCGCAGCAATGTAACAAGAGTTTTGACCTTCTCCTAATCATGTTGTATTTCGACATTTCGCCATCTTCGGTTGTGCGTTTGTCATCAATACATATAATGAACTTTGAAGACAAGGTTTGGCCTGTGTGTTCTTTTCTACTCAAGCCCACCACTGAAGATGGAAAAATGCCGAAATGCGTCTGATAGGCAGAAACGGCCAAAATGTCCAGACAAAATTGATCTGAAACGAACGATAAACGCGTTCATCTCACCGCAGGCTTTGAGAAATAATCTCACAGTACTCACCTCGTTAGAAATCGCCCGTTCGACGGGAACTCGAACTCGATTCTGCATAGTTAAACCGGGATAACAAGATAAGCCGTAAACAACTGGAGATCCTCTGAACACGGCTATGGGATCATTGCAAATTTGGAAATCCTCGAAACCGGTTTCCAGCCGTCCTAACGGAACCCAGCACGGGAACGGCTATTTGATATTCGTCTATTATTAGAAAGTCAGTTTAAATGTAACATTTTCTGCCGGGTTTGATTAATTTCTTCAAAGCGTATTTGCCAATCATATTTATTTAAAAAACTCGTGTTGGGAATTTTTTACAAAAGTTCTAATTTGTTGTTAAAGCTCTTCTGCAACCGGGGGGTATTTTTTATCGCCGGCTCGCCCACCTAGGAAGTAGTTAATCGCCGGCAAAGGGAGGTCAAGATTATTTGGTACGAATGTGAACGGAGACAGATCGATGAAATCAGGACGTCAGGGCCCGTTCCAGGGGGAGAGTAACAACGCGCGGTTGTGATGGATGTTCCGTCGCTGCTAATGGTCTAAGTGTGGGGCCGAGTCAAGGCTGTCGGGATGAGGTTATGGGGTTTGTGTTATGTACGTGACGACTCGGCTCGGCCAAATAGACCGTGTGACACTGTCCGTGCTGCCGCGTGACCGGCATGGATCCATCGTTCGGCAGACACCTTCCCACACTCTCCTCGGACGGTCGCCGTTCTTCGCCAAATTACACTTCGCCAATTCAATCCGGACACGGCTTTCTCGCCGATGGACGTCTAATCCACGATCATCCCTTTAATTCCTCCCACACGTTCGGGTGTTGAATACGCGAAGAACCATCTTAGCGGCTTTGCCCCATTCTTGTTATACCTTGTTTTTTTTCTTTCATTGCTAGGCGGCTAAATTCTCTCTTCGATCCAATAATGTTTTTATTATTATTATTAAATGGTCTTCAACCACTTTGGGTTATTTAGGCCGGTTAATCGATAGACAGGTAAAAGCCGCTGTCAAATGGTCGGACGTGGAGTAGGAAAGGAAGGGCTTGTCAGGGAACACCATCCAAAGAACAGCTCAGCCAGCGCCGCCATCAGGACTGACTTAAGCACTCTTCTTTTATGTTTACGGTTTTTTTAAGGATGTGGATAAAAACCATTTACATCGCATTTATTATGGAAAAATCCACATCCACCCCAACAGAACAGAGTACTCATCCGATTCGCCAAGCACCCCGAACGAACCATCTGCCGAAGACGCACCCCCACACACAAACCTCAAAATCTCCTCCCCCCTCGATCCCAATTTTACTTTACTGTATTTCTTTTATCAACTCCGTTCTTTATAAAAATTTAAAGAAGGAAACAAGAGGGGGCACCATCGCCCAGCATCTCATGCAAGGAATCTGGAAATTCAAACCTTCACCTTTCTGTGGTATAACAGTAACATGTGGTCAATTCCTCTTAGGCATAGACTCCAAGTTGCGCGTCATTGTTGAGGGGCTGAATCTCGTTTGAATCAGGACTCCTGATTCAAAGAAGATTCACCCCGCAACATGTCCCCTGTCAGGAGTGTATTGCGGGTCTACGTGATACAAGATTTTAAGTCCCATCGAATCGGGATTCAATGATACATTGTTAAGAGGACGCATGTTCCGAGGAGTTGCTAGTTTCACGGTAGGGAAAACTGAATTTCTAAATTTTGTGTTTTCTTTAAACGCCTTCAGCGCAACCATTTGCAAAAGATTTTCAAACTCGTCATCCTTGAAATGTTGACGAATCCCATTCCAGCCTCATTGTGTCAAAAAGATCGCGGTATGTATCATTGTTGTTACTAGAAAATTTTCTGACCCATGTCTTCTTTGATTTCTATTTTTAATTAATAATTACAATGACAAAGAAACACCCGCGAGGCCTAACTCCTGAGACATTTTCTAGGGGTGTATTGTAGGGGGCAGCCCCCAACAAAGACGCGCAACTTTGACCCTAGTGTGGACTAATCTTAACATATCAAACAATTAGGTAAGGATGACATGGCCATTATCAGTCCTGGCATGTTTGATCCTGAGTCTTTAAAGTGCCATTTCGTATCTTTTACTTGCATGGTACGATAGCCATTTCTGCGTTAATCTTTTATTTCCCCTAATTTATTGTCGGTTGTTGTCTCCCATTTGCCAAAAGTGGGAATTCCTCTTTCTCAGAAGGGACGTGTATTCATGGGGACCTAATTCGTTCAACGCTATCCCAGAACTAGATGTTCTTTGGCACCCAGGTCGGCTTTCTCATTTCCACGTCCTCCACAGTGCCCAAGGAACCACGCGAAACATATTCTGACCCGCACAGGGAATGGAAATATCCCTCACCCAAGAATTCCGAATTTCCGGAAGGAACCCAGGAAATCCGAGAATTTATCGGTTCAGTTTATCAGGGTTGATAAGGAATTCGTGCAGATAACCGTATTTGAATAGTGATGCCAGGACATTTTAGGGCTTTGGATATCGCTAGCAATTCCGCTCTTATCGAATATCAATTTAAAATAAATAATAAATTTGATTAGTTACAACAGCTGAACCTGAGACAATTTACACTGCTTGAGCCGACAGTGAAAATACAATAAGGTTTCTGCATTTCGCTGAGCACTTTAATTACGTTTGAATGCTAACAACCGCCGAAGGTCTCGGTTCATGACTGCCGATAGAAGTCGGGACGCGTTTCCGACGGAGGTTGTTCCAAGTACGCCGGAATCGGAATATCTCCGGCATCGTGAGAATCGCTTCTGGCTCGCCTTGAAGGGCGAGGATGTACTTAATATCAATAATAAGCCACAGTCACGTCCCTAGAAGACGATTAGGATGGACGGTTCCATTTTAGCACAATTACAGGAAAAAACTATAACCATCTTCACTCAGGGTCCACATCGCTCTTAGATATGAAGACTCGTTCTTTAAACACTGAAGCATAAAACAAAAAATGTTTCACAATCGTTTTCAATGGTTTTCCTTCGTATTTCTTGTCGCACATGAATATACATTATGGTATCGGGAACGCTCTTGCACGCTCAAGATCGAGCCCTTACGACCAGTTTATTATACAAACGAAATAGTTTTTTTTTTTTTTGCATTACATAAATTAATTATACGTAGCAGACCAATAACGAAATCTTTTTTGCTTATTACTGGACAAGCTTCTAAACGGGCTTTTGACAAGATTTGTAAAGTAACGAAGTGACGTCTGTGGCCGCGACGGCGCGTTGACTCGACGCTCATCACTGTAAAGGTCCCGGGTTCGAATCCAGCATCCATTCCAACCCAACAAATGCCCTAACCATCCCAAAGTTATTTGGGTTCATAGTTTAACCTTGCAATAAAGACTGCAGAAAATGTATGCGATCTGAACTATGTCACTATTTTATGTATGAAATGTTCAGACAAACAATGGAAAAGGAATTTTTATTAATATAAGTAATAATGCTCAATTAATTATACACAATTTTTTTTCCAAAATGAAAAATTTGTGTCACAGGCGGGATTCGAACCCACGATCTTCGGCTCAATACTCCGCTGCTCTACCACTTGAGCTACCGTGACTTCGATCGCCCATGCCACAAACTTCTCATTTCGACTGCCCGATTTAATTCTAATCATAAGCAAATCGCGGCTTCATATAAAAACACTTTTTATTAACGATTATACTAGATTAGCGGAACTGCGTACGATTCACAGGTGTGATTCTAGATTAATACTAAATTTTATCAACCTCTATTAAAAATATAAATACTCAATTAATTATACACAATTTTTTTCGAAATGAAAAATTTGTGTCACAGGCGGGATTCGAACCCACGACTTTCGGCTCAATACGCCGCTGCTCTACCACTTGAGCTACCGTGACTTCCATCGCCCATGCCACATGAAAAAAAAATTGTGTATAATTAATTGAGTATTTATATATTTAATAGAAGCTGATAAAATTTAGTATAAGTAATAATAATTAATTTAATGTTGGTTCTGCCGTCACGTCTTTGCTTTCATAATAGTTGCAACATCGAACTAAGGAGGTAAAAGTCATTTACTTACGTTATTTATTCTTTTTATGTGTCTTGGTTGAAATGAAAAAGCAAGTGTCACGAGCGGGATTCGAACCCCTGACCTTCGGCTCAATATGCCATTGCTCTAACCACTTGAACTATCGTGACTTCGATCCACTCGGATACCAACACTCTCAACCTACAACCTTTCAAATTTTCCCCCTTTTTGCCAGTTTTAGGCCAATAAACATAAATGGGTTATTTATTCTCAGAAGCACCAAAAACAAGACAATGACTAATGTAATCCTTTCTTTTAGTGGATATGATTGATATTTGTTGATTAATATGTCAATTAGAAAATCATAAATCAGTGTAAACCTTTATGTTTCAGCACCTGTCTACGATGAGGAACAAGGTCTAGTACCATCCACAGCAGGTAAAATAAAATGCACCTTATTAACTATTTAAAACAGTATTTTTAACACCATGTTTAAATTTACAGGGGATGGCTGTTATTACAATTTTGTACATTACGAGGAAGGGGATAGGATTTTAACGAATGAACCGTGTCTGAATTGTACTTGTTCCAACAAGATGTTGATGTGCTACCTGAGGGTCTGCCCGTTCATGAGGGCAGTAGGTCAAGACTGCACTATAGAAAAGAAACCGGACCAGTGCTGCCCGGTGGTAACTTGCCCACAAGGTATTTTCTATTGTTTATTATGATTTTCATAAGCGTCCTTAATTTCGGATTGTCTTCAGTTCCAGTTGCCCTGTTGACAAGCACAACCACAACCTCACCGTCGACATCCACGGCAGTAGGAATGCTTGATAACTACGGCTGTACTCTCGAAGATAATACTTTTTATCCCGACGGTGCTCAGGTTCCATCCCACCCTACAAGACCTTGTGAACTCTGCTACTGCATAAGAAACCACACAGCATGTATTATGCAAGAATGTACCTTAAATGTTGATGGATACAAACCAGTATATCAAGATGGCGTATGTTGCCCTGTTAGATACGCTTTTGGTACAGTTTAAAAAAATATTGAAATACTTAAAACTTGTGATTTTTGTTCTAACAAACATTTGAATTTTTTTTAGAAAGCACAGAGGTAAGCACAACCCCAAGGCCCACTCCTGGCCATGTTGCACCCAATGGATCTCAGACTTGTTTCGGTCACAATGGCACACTGTTCCGTGATGGTGAATTGATGGATAACTTCAGCTCGAACCCTTGTAAAAGGTGCTACTGCATGTCAGGCATAGTTGTATGTGCTGTGAGAGATTGTGGTGCCCCTATGGAAGGAACTGACTGTGAACCGATTGAACCAGAGGAAGGACAATGTTGTCCTAGCTCATACCGATGTGGTATGTCCATTTATTATAAATGTTTTTAAATCACCGATTAATTTTTTATTTTCCCCCCAGCTAATGGAATAGTTCCTGCACCATCATTACCAGAGAAAGAACATCATTACACAAGTAACAACGAAAAAGAAGAAAACCATAACATAGCAGATTCAAGCGCTAGCGAATCTATCCCTAGTGTAGAAAATGAGAATGTCCCTGAAGGTTTTGGAACTGGAGAAAAAGTTGGAGGTTTGAAACCGGAAAATACAGAAAGCCACGATTCAGAACCTTTGACACCCACATCTGATGAAGCTGCACAGGTTATACCAGAAGGTACAGAAGAAGTTAAACCATCTGAATCTACTGAGAAAGTCCACAGCCTCGAAGTCACCTCAGAGCTGCCAGTCGATACTGAATCAGTGCACACTCATACTGTAAACAAAGAGCAAGAGGGAGATGTTGACAGAGAATCCACTGAACATGAAACGAGTCCAACAGAGACACCTGTATCTCATGGAGAAATGGGCCAAGATGCGCAGAAGCCAACCACTCAGGAGGAATATCAAGAAAATGTTGAAGGATCACATGTCAATGAAGAACATTCAACACTTACACCTCACACTGAAACCTCACCATTAGATGACAAAAATGAATCACCTCAAACACTTGAAGAGACATCAACACCAGGACTTGAATCCAGTTCTGCAGAAACTGGTCCTACTGTAGCACCCAACGGAGAGCAGCCTGAAGGTGTCTTGACTCCGCAACAGACAAAACCTAGCGACCATCTTACATCAAATGAAATTCCTGAATCTGTTTCGCTACCTTCTGAAGACAATTCCGAGTTGGAACCGATTGAATCAGCTAGGATTCCCGGTGAAGGAAGCTGTTTAGTTGATGGAAAGACATATGCTCCCAACTCTGAAGTCCCCAAAAGTAACCCATGCCATAAAATATGCCACTGTGTAAATTCAATTGTGCAATGTGAGCAAGTGAAATGTCCTCCTCTTCCACCCTCTGCAGTATATTCGAATTGTTTCCCAATTGAAACTCCAGGTTCCTGCTGCCCTACTTTCATGTGTGGTAAGAACCTTTATCTGTAAATCTATTACATTATTGTTATCTAACATATTAATTTTTTCCAGACCAAAAACCATCCGATGCACCAGAAATTCAAAATCAAGTCAGTATTGATAAAATTGACATGAGTATTGATGAGGATGGTCACCTTAGCGCAACGCCTCAAGAGACGACCTCTCACCCACCCCAACAAGGATTTACAGAAAGCACCGACCAAGTAACTGTTGTTCCTGGAAAAACTGATGATGTTCCTTTGGTACATGGTGGAGAGTCGGCTTTCCACGGTGGATCTGAAACTGTTTCTGCAGAAGAAAACAAACTATCACAAAATGGAGAGTCTGCTGCAGAACATGTAGAATTCGAGGATAAAACTGAAGAAACCCATTTACCAGAAAATACAGAAACTGGCTTAAGTGATAACAAGAACCAGAAAGAAGCACACACTGAAACAACGCAAAAACCTGTCGAAGAAGAAACCAGACCAGTTTCCAGTTTAGGATCAGAGTCCCATACCGAAAAACCGGAGTCTGATTTTGGACAAATTCACCATCTAGACGGGTCAAGTCCCCAAGTAGAAAATGCTAATCACGAATCAGATTTCTCTCAGACCTCTGACAGTGAGCATGAACCATCCGATAATGAAAAATCTCAGCCTGAAGTTACAACAGAAACTCATGAATCTCACCAAACCCACCCACCGACAACTGAAGTAGAGGGTCAAGAAGAACATTCCAACCAAGCATCTGATAATACAGAATCGCAACCTGAACCTGAAACAGAGCATCAAGAATCACACCCTACACAACCCCCAACTAACGAAGAATCTCAACCTGAACCTGAAACAGAGCATCAAGAATCACACCCTACACAACCCCCAACTAACGAAGAATCTCAACCTGAACCTGAAACAGAGCATCAAGAATCACACCCTACACAACCGCTTCCAGATGAAGAATCTCAACATGGTCATGAAGCAGACAGTCAAGAAACACACCCTACACAGCCACTTCCACATGAAGAATCTCAACATGGACATGAAGCAGGCAGTCAAGAAACACATCCTACGCAACCGCTGACTAGTGAAGAATCGAGCCCAGAGTCTGATGTAGAGAGCCATGAAGAGCATCCCAACCAACCTGCTGATAATGGAGAATCTCGACCTCATCCTGTAACAGTTAGTCACGAGGAACAATCTACTCAAACACCAACCAATGAAGAATCTAGCCCTCAAACTGAAGTAGAGGGTCATGAAGAACATTCCCACCTCACTTCTGATAATGAAGAATCTCAACCTGAACATGAAACAGAAAGTCACGGGGAACAGTACATTCACATGCATGGTGAAGATCATAAATTAGCTGAAGAAGGAGCACCTGCACAGTCTGCTTCTAGTGAACCAACAACTGTACTCAACGAAATGGAAGGCCAAGAAAAACACACCACTCAGTCTTATAACAAGGAAGAACTTCAACCTGAATCTGAAAGAGATCAAACTCAAGAATTGCAATCGCTTGGTCAAGAAGAAGAAGAAAGTAACAAACCACATTCTGAATCATCCAGCAATGAAGAACCTCAGCCTGAATCCGAAAAACACACTGAACATACTGAAGCTCCACACATTTCTCATCCAGAGCCCAGTCTACCTCCTTCTGAAGAGGAAAGTGATGTGACACATTCTACACATACACACGACGGTGAAGAACTTCATCCCGGATCGAGTGAAGATTCAGATTTAAATGAAGGACCAACCCAACAAGCTGAAATGTTAAGTAATGAATCACCACATTCAACCCAAGCCACTCTCACAGAAGACCATCAAACTGAATCTGAACGAGGAAATACAGAATTACCCTCTACACAACCAACTTTTCATAAAGAATCTGAAACCCAGTCTGAAGTGGGAAATGATGAAGTTCATCCCACCCTAGTCGCTGACAATGAAAAGTTTCCAAGTGAACCAACAACTGTTTCCTCTGAAGGAGAAAGTCAATCACACACTTTACAACCCCCAACATATGAAGAATCTCACACCCAGACTGAAGAAGTAAATAACGTCCAAGAGCCCGTTCATGGAGAGTTTCAACCAAATTCAGAGACGGAAGTTGAAAATACTGAGCCTCATCTCACCCAACACTCTGACAGTGAAAAATCTCAGGCTGAAGCAAGCCAAGAATCACACACTACTCTACCGACGACCAATGAAGAATCCAGCCCTGCCTCTGAAGAAGTGAGTCATGAACACCATTCTGACCATGTCTCTGATGAAGACAAAACCCAGCCGGAAACTGAAGAAGCAAGTCAAGAATCTCACACCACTGTATCGACGACCAGTGAAGAGACCAGCCCACACTCTGAAGTAGTGAGTCACGAACAACATTCCGATCATGTTTCCGATAAGGAAGAAACCCAGCCTGAAACTGATGAAGCAAGTCAGGAATCTCACACCCCTGTATCAACGACCGGTGAAGAGTCCAGCCCACACTCTGAAGTAGTGAGCCATGAACAACATTCTGATCATGTTTCCGATAAGGAAGAAACCCAGCCTGAAACTGATGAAGCAAGTCAGGAATCTCACACCACTGTATCAACGACCGGTGAAGAGTCCAGTCCACACTCTGAAGTAGAGAGTCACGAACAACATTCCGATCATATCTCTGATAAGGAAGAAACCCAGCCTGAAACTGATGAAGCAAGTCAAGAATCTCACACCACTGTATCGACGACCAGTGAAGAGTCCAGTCCACACTCTGAAGTAGTGAGTCACGAACAACATTCCGATGATGTTTCCGATAAGGAAGAAACCCAGCCTGTAACTGATGAAGCAAGTCAGGAATCTCACACCACAGTGTCGACAACCGGTGAAGAGTCCAGTCCACATTCTGAAGTAGTGAGTCATGAACATTCTGATCATGTCTTCGATAAGGAAGAAACCCAGCCTGAAACTGGTGAAGCAAGTCAGGAATCTCATACCACTGTATCGACGACCAGTGAAGAGTCCAGCCCTCACCCTGAAGGAGAAAGTCATTCACAGCAAGTGCACACTGGTGAGGAGCAACCTGAATTTGAGAAAGAAAGTGAAGGAGTGCATCCGGCACAGGCTGCTTCCGAGGAAACGTCTACCCCACTATCTGAAGAGGAAAGTCACGTGGCATCTTCTCCACCAACTTTCAGTGAAAATGTTGATGCTGAACATGAACTGCATCCTACCCAATCTAAAAACGAAAACGATTTTAACAACCAAGTACCACTGGAAGACAAACATGGCGAAACTGCATCTGCTGAACCTGAAGTTTCAACAAGTGAACAAGGCTTTAGTGAAAATCATCTAGAACATGAAGAACATGTGGAACATGCACCAGAAAAAACAACACAAGAGACTGATAGACATGATGAATCATTGACTGAGTCTAATGTTAAGCATAATGGCCATGTAACTGAATCAGTTGATGTTGAACATGAAGTTCCGACAACCGAAGGTCTGAGCTATAGCTCTACAGAAAGCCAAACCCATGATAATGCTGAAACTTCTCATCATGAAGAAATGTCATCACTGTCGCCAGAACATCCAGTTGGTGAAGAGTCATCATCCGAAGCTTCATTTGAAGTACCTGTAGATGTTACATCAGAAGGCCCAACATTCTTTGATAATGCACACGATTCAAACAAACATGACAGTGCGAATGAATTTACTCCAGATGCATCAACCGAACAAAATGAAGAACATGTTGAGCAAAGTGAAGTAAGTTCTCCACAAACACCCTCACATGAAGTAGATGCTTCAACTCATTCATCTGAACAAGATGTCCATCAGGAATCTCCGAATGTAGTCAGCGGTGTTGCTTCACAATCTGAAGGACATGTGAGCAGCGATGAAAGTTCTTCTCAAGAACAAGTTACTTCTCTTCCAGTTGTGGATCATTCTGAGTCGATGCAGACATCTTCAGAAACACCTGCATTCTCTCACAGTGAATCGCCTGAAAACGAGGAACTAGAATCATCAAAACAAAATCCTACTACACTTGCCCCTGAACATGAAAGCGTCAGTTTTCATAATGAACCCTCACAATCAAAACCTGATGAGAGTCATCAAGAGAGTTCATCGCACCAAGGAGAAGAACTGGCTGAAACTGAGCACACAGAAAATGCACCAGTCGGTGGCACGGGAGAATATGATCAGGGTTTGCCTAATGTGGAGGATCAAGCTGAAAGCGTCCATGGACCTCATGAGGAGCAACAAGGAGTATTTAATCTAGACGACCTCCATCAACCACCAATGAACGTTCCTGAAGAAGAGATGCATACACCATTAACCGAGCAAGAGACGCCCACGGATGTCACTCATGAACAGAATGTAGATTTACATGAAAACACTGACGATCAATCACACGGTAATGATGTGAACGTCGTATCACACACTGAATCAGCTAGTCCACATGAATCTGTAGATGATAGTGAAACTTCACCTTCTGATGATAAACAAACGGTGACGCACGTTGAAGAAACCAAAGTTCCTGAACATCTTCCCATTGAAAACCAACTATTAGAATCAACAGAACCTAGTTTAGATAATAAATTTGAATACAACGTTCACATGACTGAAGCAGAACATGTGGAACAGCCTCTTGACAATCAAGATTCTAGTCCTGTGCCAGCAGAAGGAGAAGCTCAGCCTGAAGTGCCAAAGCCTGATTCCAGCGAACCTCCATCAGAAAATTCTCCAGAATCAGACAGAGCTGAAGTTCATGAAAGTCAAAATGAACCGGATGAACACAAAGTTGGAGTTTCTGACAGTACTATGCCTGAAGTTCCTGTAGAAGAGCATTTCCAAGAAGCCGACAATCAGTCAGAAACTCACCCTGTTGCACCAGAGGATTCAGAACATCAAAAGGAGCCATCGCACGAACTTGGTGAAGAGGTCCAAGAACACACGCCTGAACATGAAGTGGAACTGCCACATGAAAATGAAGAGCATCATGAAGAATCAACACCACAGCATGAAGTTGTTATGGAAGAAAATAAATCCACGTTAGAAGGACAAGAACCATCCGAAACGTCAACTGAAAGTCATGAAAAACATCCGGATCAACAAGAATTTACTCTTGAGGTTCATGAAGAAGAACCCAGCCAAACTGAAGAACACGTTTCTCCTTCGGAAGATCAAGTTTCTCCATCAGAAGAACCCTTTTCTCCATCAGAAGAACACGTTTCTCCATCAGAAGAACACGTTTCTCCATCAGAAGAACAAACGGTATCTCCTGTAGAAGAACATAAGGAAGAAGGTGAAACATCCCATTCTGAAGTTCCAACCAAAGACCATGAACTACCTGTTCAACATGAAGTTGTAAGCGAAACTGTGAAACCTGAAACCACATCAGAAACAGATGAACATCCAGAACATAGCTCTGAGACCCCTCTTGAGCATTCGCATGAAGTTCAAACAGAAGAACCACAATTACAAAGCCATCATGAAGAAACAACGTCAGATGTAGAACACGACAAGCTTGAAGAAAATACACATCCCGTCGAAGAAATGCAAACAGTAGAGGTGACCGGACACGACACTCAAACTGAACATCATGTTGAATTGCCTGTGGAATCTCATCAAACAGAAGGGCCTTCAACTCATGACGAATTCCATTCAGAAGATGGGGTTGCACCTCAACCAGAACAGCCTGTAGAAGTAGAAGAGCTCGTAACCAAACCAGAAGACCATCAAAATGAACACAAAGAAACAACAACCCAACATGAAGAAAACACAGATCAGCATTCTGTAGAACACCACCAAGGCGAAGAGGTTCCATTAGAACACGACTCTCTTGGAGAAGGATCACACACTGAATCTCACGTAGAAAATAGTACTCAGCAGCCCTTTCTTTTGGAATCTGACGACTCTGGTCCATCAGTTGGTGAATCAGATAAAGTTGAAGTTGCACCTGATACGCACTCCACTGAAACATCGCATGTAACCGAACCTTCATCCCCGCCTCCGACTGTCTTGCCAAGTTCGACCGAGCACCCTCATCCAAGCGAACATAAACCTGGCACTCACCCCTTATTCCCCAGTTGGTCTCAAAAACCTTTCGAGCATCAAACTTCACAACCAGAAGTACCGCATAATCAAGAAGAAACGCATTACCCTTCAGGCCTAGAACCAGACTACGAAGAAGAAGATGGAACGAGCTACGGACCCGGAACGTGTAGATATGGTGGGAAAGTGTACCTTTCAGCGCAGCAAATCCCCAGGGAAGACCCTTGCGACTTCTGCTTCTGCTTTAGAAGCGATGTGATCTGTTTGCAACAGAGCTGCCCACCGCCAATTAAAGGTTGCTATCAAGAAACGATCAAAGGCTTCTGCTGCCCACGATACGAATGCCACGTATCCACCGCCACTGTATTAAACATTACCACAACGACCACAACAACGACAACGACTCTTCCGCCTCACTTCTTAGCCCATGCTTACAACGGTGCAGCTGTAAAACAAGGATGCCAGGTCAATGGCGTCGCTTACAGCGTAGGACAAAGAATACCTTCTACATCTGGTCCATGCTTAGAATGCAGGTAATGTATTATTATTTTAATTCATAATTAACCTAGTATGAAATGTTTTATTGGTTTTTATTTTTAGATGTGGAGGAAATGGCCAAATGGATTGTGATCCAACCCTGTGTGGGCCGCAAGAAGCTTTGTTGAGACAAGTGATGGATGCCGCCGCCGTAAGTAAGAGGAGGTGAGCCACGCACGATTCCAACAAAGAAGGTGCCATTCTCAGCTCAACAACCCATGACTGACGTGATACAGACGTATCACAAAGGACTGATCATAAAATTAACGAATACGATGAGCATTTATATTCTTCAAGTGTTTAAGGGGCCATAAAGACTTTAAACGAGTGAAGCCCACGTGTGTTAAAATAATGTATTTATAAATTTAGCCAGTTTGTATTCTGGTTCCCAAAATCTCATTTTAATTGGGCACCACAAGTTTTGAAGCCTACTTGTTTGACTGGTCGAATTCTGCCAATTTTAAAAAAATTTATTTACATTTTCTTTAAATTACTAGGCATGCGAATGATTTCTACCACTCGAACATAGGCTTATTTGTAAATTATATTTGCTATTTTAGGTTGGAAGTAGTCTAAGTTATTTATGTAAACATTCAAACTATTAAAGAAAAAAGAAAAGGACCTACAATAAGTAAATGTGATTTAATATGTGTGATTAAATGTTGTAAAAGACGATTGTGCACTACAAGCGTACGTGCAATATTTTCACCTTTTTATACTTTTTGCTAATTTACTAGACCTTATAGAAACGTATATGAACCATTTTTTGGAATAGTGCAGGATTAAACATGTTCATACATTCTCAATATTTATTTTCCTTATTTATTTCCTTCAAAATCAATTCCATCTCTGACAACTTCATCTTCAACATAGAAAATTCAAGCTTCAACTTTTTTCACGGGTTCTGTAAAGTTAATTATCAGCGCCTGAAGCTATTTGGAGAAGTGTGTCCTGGGTTTAATTTAAAAGCAAAAAAATAATAATAAATCATTGAAGAGCGTAAGTAGCTGCAAAAGTTTACGAGTGGACATGGTGCTCTTCACTGTAAGGTAAAGTTCCCGGGTTCGAATACTGCAGCTAGCATTCAAACCCGACATAATTTTTTTTTTTCAAAAACACTGGTGGGGCCTCTCCTCTATTTGTGAGCATGAGTGATCTCTCATCCTAAATCCCAGGAACAGTCGACAGCTCTTTTTGCTGATGATGTGGCTACATTGAGCACAGGGGAAACCAGCGCAGAGGTACAACAGACCCTGCAACGAGTCACTGACCAAGTCTCTGAATGGGCGGACAAGTAGAAAGTCAAGCTAAACCCAGATAAATCAAAATTCGTCCAGTTTACTTATCTGAAAAAAGCCAATGAACAACAACTGGTACTAAATAATAAGAATATCAGGAATCGACACACACAAAATATCTGGGACCGGAGGCTGACGGCATCAGCACATAAGTGCTAAAGAGATCACGATGCAGACTAATTGAACTCAAACCACTTCTTAAGAGCCCAACTATCAGTCTGAGCAACAAAAGACTAATATATATGTTCCTCATTCGACCCATATGGCTGTATGGCTCTGGTGTTTGGGCCTCAGTGTTGAACAGCCAAATTAAGAGAATCCAGACATTTCAAAACAGGGCCTTAAGGATTTTAACTTGAGCCCCCTGGTATGTGCGAAATACCACACTGCACCGAGACCTGGACATTCCTCTAGTGGACCATGCACTGAGAGACAGCTACCGGAAAATGTTTAGCAAGTTCCAGTCCCACCCAAACACAGAAATCCAAGGAATACCGGACCACCTACCTCCTGCACGTCCACAACACAGACTCAAGCGCAAGCGACAAACCGATATAACTAACTATAATTAACTGTGATAAACTGTGATTAAATCATATATAAATAATTAATGGGGGGAGCTGCTGAGCTTAAAGATCCAAGAACTGTTTGATGCCGTTAAACATTATGCCACAACTATAAGGTACTATTGGGTTGTCCGGAAAATAATGCAGGATTTTGGTATTAAACAAAAAAAAAGAAACTAGTTACTTTAAAGCAATGTTCTTTAATCAAAATAATTTCCCATACTCTCAATACATTTCTCCCAACGTGTTGGTAACTTATTAATTCCGTCTGAGTAGAATTCAGAATTTTTAGAATTGATAAAGTCAATAAATGCATTTTCCAGTTCCGTTTGATTTTTGAATATTATGTGTTGTAAGTAGTGGTCCAGGTGTCTAAAAAAATGGTAGTCAGTAGGCGAGAGGTCCGGAGAGTAGGGTGGGTGAGGCAAAGTTTCATAGCCAAGCTCCAATAATTTTTGTGACGTTACACGTGACACATGTGGTCGAGCGTTGTCATGCAACAAAATGGGCCCTTTCCGATTGACCAAAGAGGGCTTCATTACTGCCAATTTCTGATGCATGGTATTAATTTGGTTACAGTATGATTCAGCATTGATGGTTTCGCCAGGATTTAAGAAGCTGGAGTGTATTAAACCAAATGAAGCCCACCATACCGTAACCATTACCTTTTTTTGATGAGTTGGGGGCTTTGGAGCTTCTCCTTTGTCGAGCCACTGTCCAGAACGTCTAGTGTTATCGTAGAGAATCCACTTTTCGTCACATGTAACAATTCTGGCCAGAAATGGGTCATTTTTGTTTCGACAAAGAAGTGATGCACAAACATCAAAGCGCTGATTTTTTTGGCGATCGTTTAATGAGTGTGGAACCCAATTTTCGAGTTTTTTCACTTTTCCAATCGCCTTGAGGTGGTCAGCGACGGTCGTTTTACTGACTTTGAGTTGCTCTGCAAGTTCTCGAACAGTTGTTTTGGGGTTTTCTTCCACCACTGATCGCAGAACATCATCATTAAGAGAGGAAGGCCTTCCACGACCTTCTTCATTTTCAAGGCTGAAATCTCCCTCCCGAAATTTTTTAAACCACCTTTGCACAGTGCACTCATTAACACAACCCTCGCCCCAGACTTGGTTAATGTTTCTAGCCGTTTGGGCTCCACTTCGGCCGAGTTTAAACTCGTAAAAGAAAATCGTACGAAATTCTCGCTTTGACATTATAAGGATGACTGAATTATTTCCAAGTAGCGGAATGCTACAGAGGTAAACAAACAATATCATTTGGAAGAGGTAATCCTGTAAACGTAAACAGAATATTTTATATAGATTTTTTTTAATGAAAACTTAAAATCCTGCATTATTTTCCGGACAACCCAATATGTACAAAAAAAAAAAAAAAATTAAAAAAAAAATAAAAAAAAAAAAACCCTGGTGTTGGGTTTGATATATGACCTCTGCTGTGGTGAACTCTCGTTTAAAAAAATAATAAATAAAAAATAAATAATTCCAATTAATTACTCTTTTTTTCTAAGGTTTTGGTTAAACTGAAAAATTAGCATCACGAAGGGTTGGTGTCTGAGGGGATTGAAGTCACACTAGCTCAAGGCCTCAAGTGGTTAGAGCAGTAGCATATTGAGCCAAAGGTTGTGGGTTCAAATCCCCCTCATGACACTAATTTTTCATCATAACCAAAATTAATTAGTTGGATTAATTAATATGGTCAATTATAAGAATAGTGTTGTTAGGGTTTCCCATTCCATATTTTTAAGAAAATAAGATTTCTTTAATTTATATATCATAGATTTTTTATGATGTTTGTGGCAAGAGGGTTGAACACTTGATATTCCTCCTTCATCTAACAAACAAATCATTAAATTAATCTAAATGAGGGTCGAAAGAATACTATATTCATGCTAATAAATACATTCGATCTTCTGAAACCTACTGTATAGAATAGAAGGCCCTGATTTATGGGGGAAAAGGCGCACACTTTACTATTACTGTCACATCCGATGGCATTCCTACTCACTCTATACATCGTTACAGGGTAGTCCATGCATGTACGGATAATTTGAAGGTTGGCCTGAACGTATCTAACAAGGAAGGAATCCGAGCTAAGAAACATAAATTAGCAGACAGATTTTTTAATAATCAGGTTGAGGAATTGGCGTTATACCAGGCTATGGAGATTCTTCTGGAGCAACAAACACAATCCAGGAAAGTTTGCACAGTGAGACAATTACCATGGGATTCTTTAAAAAAAAGAAAAAACCTGTCTATAAGTGAAAGAATTTGGTTTGGTAAAAGCCCATTGAGGTGTATCTGGAATGAAAGGACAGACCAGCTTTGCTAAAAAGACATCCATATCACATAAATTAGCCATTGGTATGAAAGAATTCTGGAATAAAATTTTAGTGGATATTTAGTGGATGTGGTAGGTTAAAAGATTATTCCAATTAATTATACTTTTTATCTAACGTTTTTGGTTGGGATGAAAAATTAGCGGGCGGGCTTCGAACCACGGCCTTCGCTGATAATAACACTAATAGCTCCCTGTGGCCACTACATAGGTTGCCCAGAATCAAATCCTGATTGCACATTTGAAAATGTGGCAAAAAGGAGGGAAAATTTGGTTGTACGTTGAGATGGGAAGTTGGTGTCTGAGTGGATCGAAGTCACAAGAGCTCAAGTGGTTACAGCAGCAGCGTATTGAGCCGAAGGTCGTGGGTTCGAATCCCACTGTTACAATAATTTTTCAGTGAACCTTTCAAACGATAAATTTTGCGCTCATAATAAGACAAATTAAAAGGCTCTATAAATAAGATAAAATAAAATTGTACGTATATTGCAAAGTTGAAATAAAAAATGGTACACTTGTTAACAAAATGAAAAAAAAATTTAATTAAATTACAATTAATTAAGGTTTTTAGTTGAGATAAAAAAGTCAATGGCACGAGCGGGATTGAACCCACTATCTTCGGCTTGATGCGCCGCTGCTCTACCACTTGAGCTATCGTGACCTCGATCCACTCGGACATTAACTTCCCATCTCAATCGCACCTTTTGAATTTTCCTTCCATTTTGCCATTTTTCAAATGTCGTGTAATCGGATTGGATTCTCGGCGACAAATGAAATGGCCACGGAGAGCTTTAGTGAAGTATACTTCATTTAAATTCACTAATTTTGTGGTCCACTTGACCAATTAATATATTACAATTAAGCTTTTTAGTCGAGATAACAATTAAAATTAAAAAATTCAAAAGGTGGGGTTGAGATGGGAAGTTGGTGTCCGAATGGATCGAGGTCACGATAGCTCAAGTGGTAGAGCAGCGGCGGATCAAGCCGTAAGTCGTGGGTTCGAATCCCACTCGTGACACTGAATTTTTTATCTCAACTAAAAACCTTAATTAATTGTAATATATTAATTGGTCAAGCGGACCATGAAATTAGTGAATTTAATTCAATTAAATCCTGACTAGTTGGCCCTCTGAGCAATAAAATTTAAATATACTTTCATGTTTTTATGGATTAAAAAAAAGGAAAAAATAATCAAGCCTTGTCTCACCGATGAGTTCCCTCAAGTCCTTCAGCGCCCTCCTCTTTATCGCCCCATGGAGTACCCCCTCAAGGCCCTCCAGCATCCATTGTAACCAGTAGAAATTCGCCGAACTGCAGGAAACTACAATATTTTTCACTTTTTTCCATTCGCACACAGCGTCGGAGTCCTGCCAGCCGGGCCCTCTCTTCTTGATCCTGACCAGCCCCGGCAGTCCTGTCCTCTGCTTGTTATACAGGAGCTTTTGATCTTCCACCATCATTGCCTAGCTTTTTGGTGTGCACAACCTTTTCAATCGGACCCCCCATTTCTTATCTGTTTCATTGTCTCATTAGAATTTTTTTCCCCTTTTTATACTTATATTTTGACAAGGGACAATTTTTAGGGATGAGGCGTCAATGGACAAAGTACATACACATTCTTTTCACTTTTCATTATAAAAATAATAATAAAACAATCATAATAATAACATATATTTGTAAAAAGTTGACTGCTATATGCAATTAAAAAAAAAAAAAAAAAAAAAAAAATTACAACGTTAATGGTAGAGACTGTACTGACCCCGTTTGTGGACCCTTTAGGATTTACTTACCTGTAAGGGGCGATATCACAGCTCGCATATCGGAAATTAAAAATTCAATCATTAACACACTCTTATCATGGCAACAAAATTTAACAATTGATATTTACCACAAAAAAATTGCTCATATTTTTCTGAAATAATTGGAAAAAATAAAATAAAAGATAAACTTAAAGAGCAATGGAGAACATAAAAATAAAAAGTATGACCTAGAGCCCGTTAAATTAAATCCTGTACAATTTCTTTGATTTGACGATGACCGGATGAAACTAATATGTCTTCGTGAGATACGACTGGCTGACGTTGTCAACTCTGTCCTTCCTCTGTAGTTCGCTCTTCTCTCTCTCCTCTTCCATTTTAATGCCTGCGAATGAAAAATTTGTTTTAAAAATACGTCCGAAAATAGAATAATAAAGTCGAACGAACGTTTTTCTATCTCAGGAGGAAGCTTCGACATCGAGACGAAATGTTCGAGGTCGAAACTGTTCAACTCTTTCACTATGGACTTGTACTGGCTCGACGGCTTTATGCTTTCCCAGAATAGCTTGATGAAAAACGTGGCCAGGCTTATCTGCGCCTCGGCCCTACCAGCGACTTCGAGCACGGGGCAGTTTGACCAGTTTTCCCTCCAATCGAGAAATGCGATGTATGATATGGTATTGGTAACATGAAGGATATCGCAGACTTCTTCCAAAAGACCTGAAATTTTTTAAGATTAATATTATTTTAAAAAAAAACACTTTCATGGATTGTAGTTTAAAGTGGTAATTTTATTATTGTTGCAATTTAAATTGCTGTTAATCCTATTTATAATCAACTACTAAGTGGTTAGGGAATTTCTTATATTGTCATGCTAGAAAACAGGGGCCAGAACGGTTACGGCACTGACATAGCATCCATTACTATAAGATAAAGGTCCCAGGTTCAAATCCACGGCCCTGAATCACAAATGGGCTTTTTTTTCAAAAAAAAAAAAAAAATGCTTTAATAAAAAAATTGATGTTAATTTATGTTTTATTTAAATTCTCTACTAAACAAACACAAAAGAAATCTGACAAATAAACCACACCCTAAATTTAAGAATTTAGTGATTTTTTACACTTTTCCGGCAGTCAAAAAGTAAAATAAATAATTCAAAAGCGATTAATATAGTTTGATTTTAAACTGTTACAATTTACCTTTGGGGTTTTTCATTTCTGTCACTACGACCGATTGAACGGCATACATGGCGGCGAGCTCCGCTTGTCTCGAGTTGATATATTTTTTCAACAAGTCGACGTGCTGCGTGAAAATTGTTTTATTCAGAGAATTCCCTTCTGAAATATTAAAGACAACAATCTGCATATTTTTATTTTTTAATATACTTGGAAATTATACCTATCGAGTATCTCAGTACAGCTTTTGTTATTGAATAGACGAACCACGTTTTTCTACCGACAAAATTTGCCCTTTCCTAAAATAAAAAAAAATAAATTAGAGCTGAAATGGATATTAACATTAAAAAAATAAAGAAATAAAGCCATACCCAATCACAGATTGTTTTATATGCGTTATCATTTAAACTAAGTAGTTTAAGAATTTCACTTTCTGTATTAACGACAATTGGCTCTTTTGTTATCACTGTGATTTTGTTGTTCCAAAGCAGCCTTGGTTTCTTCGCCTTCACCTGGTCCTAAACAAATATAAAAGTTTTTTTTTTTTTGGCGTTATGAACTATGCATATTAGCCATGTGACTATTCGTATATGTGTTCAAATTGGGGGGGGGGGTTATTGTGAAAAAAGGGCCAGAGGCGACGGTGGGAATCGAACCCACGACCGCGGCGTGAGAGTCTCTCATGCTAACCACTCGGCTACCGCGGTCCCCATATAAAAGTTAAAATATAAAATATACAAAATTAATTCAGCATTTACGTTTTCTTTGATGATCTCGATAAAACTGAGGGGAGACGATCTCGAACTCATGATGCGCGGGATCCACCCGCCGTCCCTCAGGTCGAGCAGATTCATAAGCATGAATCTAAGACGGTGTGGGAGGCCTTGCTCTTTCTGCGAAAGGTGGAAAATCCTATCCCAAGTTGCGCACCAGTCAGCTTGAAACTAAAAAAAAAATTTTTTTTTACTGCGTGATCATTTTTACATTAAGACGCTTACCTCTGTCTCCAGTACTGCGATTTCCAACTCTTTTCCAGTAACGGTAAGAAGAACAGTAAGACCTTCTATGGATTTATCAGTAACGTCTTGTTCCAATTTTTTTATATACTGAAATACGTCCCTAACACCAGTCATTCCGGCCTTAAAAAGATCACCTAAAAATCTTCAACACATTTTTTTTAAATTAAATATATGCTATTAAAAAGAAAAAAAAATGGCTGTGGCTGAAAAAATACAATATTTGCTGTCCAAATAAGCATAAATCTCAAATGTAGCACTGGGAATTGAAGCGAATATGATTGTACGAGGCAGAAACTATGGTGACTTAACATCAGCCAATTTATTTATTTCTATTTATTTACAAGAGAAGCCAAAACTTGCTTGGGATAATAATAAAAATACCTTGCAACACCGACAAGCCTTCTCTTTTTCATCGCCTCTTTAGTCTTTAGTTCCAAAAGTTCATTTTCAGACTGAAAATGTTTTTTAAAAGTGTAAACAGAAGGAAATTTATGTTTTTAAAATTGTTTTACCGGTTGTTCGTATGAAAACCAATTCAAAGAGCTGCGAGCGAAGCAGAACATGTTGAAGCACTCGTCTAAAACAACGGCACCGAAGTTGAATATTGTTTCGTCCTCGACTTCAAGAAGTTCGACACTTTTCAAGGCGGTGCAGACGTGCGCGTAAAGAATGGAATTTTGTTCCTCATCGATCGCCTTATGAGAAGAAAAAAATAAAAAAACACTTGATTTTTTTATAAATATAATTGTCGATTACTTTCTGGACGAGCTCCCGTACAAAAATTTGCATTAAATGGCTACTGTGGACCGGCAGGTAATCTTGAATCTCCATGAGCTGAATGTAAAAATTATCGGGCGCCAATTTATTCAAAGCGCCCCTTAACTTTTTCAGCCTGTTCTGGAAACGTAAATGAACTGTATGTAGTCACACATGACAAAAATAATTAACTTTGTCTTTAACAGTACCTGTGCTATTCTATCGTCTTCGGACAGGTTGTCAAAAGTGAGTTGCTGGTTGTTTTGTCGATTACTGCCGAAACTTGAAATTAATAAAAGATTTTTAACACATCTATGAGGTTAAAGTTTCAAAAATTTTAAATTACCTTTCATATGAATCGGAATCAGCCACATCCAGTTCTTCCAACAATTCGCACAGACTAATTCCTATTATAAAATCATGTATTAGAAATAATCCCTAAATATATAAACTCAATTTTATAAGTCATTAATATAGTAATTACAAAACTCTACAAATAATCAAAATCAGGGTTGATCCTGTGCTTCATATTCCACTGTCACCCTACACCCAAAATATGTATAGTAATGTATACAAATAATCTGAGTTAAGGATGCTGACAATGGGAAAAAATGGGTAAAGGTTCGGCCTGATTATCCTTTCAGGAATAGATGGGGATAATTAGGGAAAGGAAAGCCAAATTGTTGAAGAATTAGACTATGTAGAAATGTTTGGTGTGTGCAATGTGATGATTGTTGTATATGTTATATGTTTTGTGCGATGTGATGATGGTATATGGCTGCAACTGAGTTTACATGTGTCTGTTCTGTAATTGATGCTGTGTCTATCCCTGTTGATGTAAACCGTTTCTAAAAAGTAATGTTTATGTTTGTTTTGTTCTGTGTGTAATATTTTTAGATTGTTGAAGTCGAAATAGTGTTGGTATTCAAAATGGTGGGTGTGTAGGATTTTGTTTGGGTTGTTGCATAGATTTATAAATAATCTGACCCAGGGTTGATAGGGTACCACCATCAACCTGGACACAAACTTCATAAATAATGGTGTGGTGTTTAGTGACAGTTTAGTGAAAACGAATTTATATAATGCTAGAAATTTCAGGTTCAAAGTACTCATACTCACTCAAAGTGTCTGTTTTCTGTGTAGATGTGTCATTCTTGTGTGTCGTTCTGAGAGTGCCAGTGAAATATTGATGTTTTATGTCTACATACGTTGGATTTTGAAGGGGGTGGGGAAGGAAGTTGGGATAGAAAGACATTTTTATATGAAGAATCGGCTTCTTTGAGGTGAAGAGCCGATGACGGGAAAAAATGGCTAATGGTTCGGCCTGATTATCCTTTCAGGAATAGATGGGGATAATTAGGGAAAGGAAAGCCAAATTGTTGAAGAATTAGACAATGTAGAAATGTTTGTAGTGTGAAATGTGATGATTGTTTTATATGTTATATTATATGTTTTGTGTGATGTGATGATGATATACGTATGTTATCGATGTTGAATTTGATTAATGATATTGACATAGCTGCGACTGAATTTACATGTATCTGTTCTGTAATTGATGCTGTGTCTATCCCTGTTGATGTAAACCATTTCTAAAAAGTTACGTTTATGTTTGTTTTGTTCTGTGTGTAATATTTTTAGATTGTTGAAGTCGAAATAGTGTTGGTATTCAAAATGGTGGGTGTGTAGGATTTTGTATGGGTTTTTGCATAGATTAATAAATAAATAATCTGACCCAGGGTTGATAGGGTACCACCATCAACCTGGACACAAACTTCATAAATAATGTGTGATGTTTAGTGACAGTTTAGTGAAAAAGAATATATATAATGCTAGAAATTTTAGGTTCAAAGTACTCATACTCACTCAAAGCATCTGTTTTCTGTGTAGATGTGCCGTTCTTGTGTGTCGTGCTGAGAGTGCCAGTGAAATACTGATGTTTTATGTCTATATACATTGGATTTTGAAGGAGGTGTGGAAGGAAGTTGGGATAGAAAGACATTTTTATATGAAGAGTTGGCTTCTTTGAGGTGAAGAGCCGATGACGGGAAAAAATGGCTAATGGTTCGGCCTGATTATCCTTTCAGGAACAGATGGGGATAATTAGGGAAAGGAAAGCCAAATTGTTGAAGAATTAGACAATGTAGAAATGTTTGTAGTGTGAAATGTGATGATTGTTTTATATGTTATATTATATGTTTTGTGTGATGTGATGATGGTATGTGGCTGCGACTGAGTTTACATGTGTCTGTTCTGTAATTGATGCTGTGTTTATCCCTGTTGATGTAAACCAGTGGTTCCCAAACTTTTTTGACCCATGGACCCGTTTTTATAGCCAAAACTTGCCCACGGACCCCTAAGTGAAAAAGCTACACAAATCCATAGTACAAAAATTACAAATTAAAAAAAAAAATTGTTGAAGAAGTATTTATTGAAATTATAAGTTTTCTTTAAAATAAAATTTAAAAAAAATTAACAACTTGATGAATGTGATGAGATGTTATAAATGCATTTATGTACGGCTCAATGTTTGTGAGTAGCAACTGCAAATCCCCACAAACACTAATTTCTAGTCTTCACTAATAGTGTACTGTTTTCTGGGCTTTGCAATCAATAAAGAAATGTTGTGAGAAACACGCAATATATCTTCATCTTGCTTAGATGTTGTCCCTATGAGTTGTTGCAATGAAGGTGTTTTCAAATATTTTTCTTTGACTGTTTGAAGAAATGTTAAATCCTTATCTTTTCATCCCTATGGAGTTTTATTAAATGCTCCTTAAGCTTGGAAGGTTTCATTGAATCATTTGACATACTTTTATTACATAGAAGACATAGGTAAAGTACTATTTCCTGATAATGAAATAAATCCATATTTCAAACACAGTATTGTTAGCATTTTTTCTTCGGCTCACTCATACCGTTATTTGTTGAAAAGGGCACAAATGATATAAGAAAATGTGTATATCAAATGTGCAACAAACAACACTATTACTGCTTAACACAGAAAACAAAACAGTGAGTACAAATAATTTGATTGAATCTAAATTTTTTTGGCATAAATTCATTTTTTTCACATCCTAATGTATTTGTAAAATTTAAACAATGTTTATAAATCCCAGGCCGTGAAGATGATCTCAATAAAGATCGAAACTTTAGCAATAAAGAAAATGTTTTTCTAAAACCTACGTCACACCAGACCGCATCTCACGATCACCAATCATTATTACCACACATTATTTATCAAGTTTGTATCCAGGGTGATGGTGTAATATCGAGTACCCTACACCGGGGCTTCCCAAACTGTGGTCCGTCGACCCTAACTAGGGGGTCTGTGGTGAACTTCGAGAAAAAGTAATAATTACAAGAGTAAATATAAAAAAATTGAATAAATAAAATCAAAAACTAATTAGAATGAGTACTGAAATTGAAAGCTTTTATTTTGTAGCAGCAGTATTCTCCTTAGACATGCTTTAGTTATGAAACAAAAGCCAGCCTCTTTTAAGAAAGTTTTGGATGAGTCTGTTCAAATTATTATATCTCGAAGGACTCATCAATAATCTAAACCTAACTAACAGACTGTTTAGAGTCAAACAAGAAGATCAGTATTCAAAATCTACCATCTCCAAAGAATCAATTTTCTTATTCGTTAGCAATACGGTTACAGTTACAAGTTATAGCAGTTACTTAGTCTTATCAGTTCTCATACTCGTTACCGTTACAGTTCTCATAACTCGTTACTATACTGCTAATTTCCCTAATAATAAAAATGGATCACAATTTTATTATTATTCTTTTTTTTTTAATGTTTTTCTGAAACCTACATCACACCATACATATCAATCACACCAGACCGCATCTCACGTTTTCTAAATAAATATCGATTAACAGTCACTAATCACCCACACTTTATTATTTTTTCTTAAGCCTTGCACGGACCCCCTTGACATTGTTCAGGGTCCCCCAAATCCATTTTGATTTTTCACGGACCCCCTGAATGATAGAGTTCCCCTTAGGGACCACTTTAGGAACCACTGATGTAAACCATTTCTAAAAAGTTACGTTTATGTTTGTTTTGTTCTGTGCGTAATATTTTTGGATTGTTGAAGTCGAAATAGTGTTGGTATTCAAAATGGTGGGTGTGTAGGATTTTGTTTGGATTTTTTGCATAGATTCAGTAAGATTCGGCCTGATTATCCTTTCAGAAATAGATGGGGATAATTAGGGAAAAGAAAGCCAAAAATTGTTGAAGTATTAGACTTGTTGAAGTTGAAACAGCGTTGGTATTCAAAATGGTGGGTAGCCAGTGCTGTAGAATTTTGTTTGGGTTTTTTGCATAGATTTATAAATAATCTGACCCAGGGTCAGATAGGGTACTCGATATTACACCACCATCCTGCATACAAACTTAATAAATAATCTGAGTTAGGATTGAGAGTTACAGTACTTAATATTTTCCCATTATTCTATACACAACTACAAATAATCCGGCTTACGGTACTCAATATTGAGTGCTAAATTGACATTTCACACCAAAACATCCTACAATGTTATCATAGTTATCATGTAGATAAGGATCCTCCTAGTGTAAAACAATCCTATTTGTGTACTTAAATTAGCCAAATTAAAAAACTCAAAAACATTTCAGTACAATAAATGCTCAAATAAAAGCTGTTTAGTATTTATTAAGGAAAATAAAATACTATTCAATTAAGTTTTTTTCCCGAACTTTGGTTCATTTAATATCAAAAGGGGCAAACTTAGATAGTAATATAAACTTATCTCCTCGGACACGAAGTTAAAATTACATTAATAAAGATGAAAATAATTAAATTTTTGGATGAGACAAAAGGGGGGCGAACGTCGTAGTGGCAATTTGCAAAAAATGTTGTCACCTCTTTTCCTCTTTATTTCTTCCAGGCTCTCTCCGGGCTTTATCGAGTAGAACTTTTTCATGTTGTGCATCTCGCCGAATCGGAAAAACTTCTTCCAGGGAAAGGAAAAACAAAAAGAAAATCAACAAATAAACAGAGATGAGAAAACAACCGAGTCAACTGCTGGGCAGCGGTTATCTGTCAAGTTGGCCCTCCCAGACCAGGACTCTCACGGGATTCCCTGGTATTTGTTTTAAAACAGAAAAAATGAAAAGAAAATATCATTTTTACTTTTATAACAAATTAAAAAAGCGTTAATTAATTCTATAATTCACTTTTTACAAGTATGTCAAGGCGTTGGACATATTTACTGCAATTTTGGAAAATTCTTATACAGGACAAAAAAAGCTTGTTGTTTTTCTTATTATGAAGAATATTTAGTTGTTTCTTAAGAAATATAAACTAAGATTCAATTTAAAATATTGTTTTTCACGTTGTTTTATACTTATTATTATTATTTTGCCTTGCCCATTTAGGTATATGGCCATGTCCCTCTTATTCTTTTTTATGGTATTATATTTCATTTTATTTAGTATATATATCATTTCTTGTTATTATTTTGATTTGATTAAATTTCTATTTTGTTTCTACCCATAAATACACTCATGGTGTTGACTATTTTTTTTTTCACCCTGGCCAGCAGGATAGTTCACTTGTGTGTAAGGGGGATGCCGTTATTCACTAGGATTTTTATGAATTCCTCTCTTCCCTCTGAAATGCAAGTACAAGACAGTAGAATATAATCAGCATCGTTTGTCGATTGCATTCACATGTCGGGGTTTGTCACATACCTAGCCTGTACAAGTAGACAATTGTGGCCTGATAATATACTGATTATTGATGTAAGTAGCCTTCTTGGTACATTAAGAGTTGATAACCAGACCATGGCCATTACGATGGTTGGATGCTTATGTACATGTAGATGTATTAGCCGGGGTGTATATTGTACCGCACCCCTTAAGAGCTAATGTATCCTTCATTCTGTGCTTAAAGCACACTAGTAAGTCCTAGTTCATCAAGAAACTTGATTACCAGGCTTGGTTTCAAATGTTGGATCTCTTCTACATTATATATCCAAAGCACTTCCTCCTGCAGGCAAGTGTAGTAGCACAGTTTGTTAATAGGTGTGTTAGTGTCTCCTCTGCCTCTTTGCAGAATTTGCACATGCCGTGTTGGGTTATGCCTTCTTCAGATGACCATATAGTTTGCAGTGCCCTGTGAAGTATTCTGTAAGGATTCATAGTTTTTTCCTGATTCTTTTAATACATTCTGTGACATGTTTCCTTCCAAAGTTTGTTCGGAGGTTCTTGGATTGTTTGTGTCCATTGTACCCTCATTTTCTTTTTATCCTTCTGTCTGAGGTGCTCATTGATAATGTGCATTCCTATGCCACCCACAGAAGGAACCTTTTACCTTTGTTGTTGCCAATTTACTGTCGGCCCAGATAGTCCTAGTTGCGTCTTAAAGACTTGTGCTTAAGGCTAAGTTCTTCCTTTTACTCATATATTTAACACCTCATTAGCCACTGGGAATTTCCTGTCAATTTAGAAGACCTTTCTTCGTTAATCCAATTTATAAAAACAAAGCCAAATCTAATATTGAAAATTACTGTGGTATCGCTAAACTTTCCTCTAGTCACGATGTTTTCTATATTTCGACCTCAACAGTTTAACTTGATGATTTTTCCTTCTCGAAGGTGGGATAAAAGGTCATCTAAAAAAAAACAACAACCATTTTTTTTTTTCAATTCACACGTTCGGATTTATTTTAATCCTTCCTCAGGTGAGTTAACGCAGTGGTTAAAACAGTGGTCGTCAGTCATTAATATTTTGTAAGTTTTTTTTTTTGCAGACGATAAGAATCTCTCTAAGAATAAGTATAAAAATTACTTGTGATTCTTATTATTTTAATTAATTTATTGTTTTATGAGGGTTCGCAACAGCACAGGTTATATCAACCCTCAGGGTATCGTTATTTTTGAAAACAAGCCCATTTTGTAAGTACAGTGGAAACCCGTTTATCCAGACCCCAATTATCCGGACCTTTTTAAAAAAAATTCAAATTCAAATATGGGACCTTTATTTCGTTGTTTGAAATTCGTAAAGGCCGACAAATCGCCGTTCCAATAGTCGCATGATTGAAGAGGTCAGAGAGGCCACGTTTTTATGCTATTTTAAAAGACTAGAAATTGCTGTGTTGTTCGTATGTTCACTTCCATCGAAAAGATTCTTTTTATTTCATATATTTTTATTAGGTAATTTCTTATATATAATTTTTACACAAAATTCGTGTACAGACATAAACAAAAGTCAATAAAAAACTATTACTTCAAATATAACTAAGTTATTTTTAACTTATTACTAAGTTATTAAAGTCAAGTCTTGATATATGAGTAAAAGTGTACACTTTCGTATGTGTGTGTTTAAGTCCGTTTTTAAGATATGATCGTTATAAAATCACAAATTTTCGGATTATCCAGACAAGTCCTGGTCCCTTCAAGTGCAGATAAACAGATTTCTACTGTAGGTCGGGTTTGAATGCAGGGCTGCTTGATTCGAACCTTGGGCCTTTACCTTACAGTGATGAGCGCCGTTTCAACGCCTTAACCGTTGCGGTCACCTACATGGTTGTGATTCTTATTCTTCTTATTTTTATTACTGAACAGAACTTTCTCAAATAACTAATTCACACTAATAAACACAGACACTTTTTTTAAAAACTCATTATGCAAGTACAAGATATATTATCCTGCTTGTCAATTTTCAGCAAACTTTTCATTGTTATATTTGAAAATAATCAACTTTGTTTGTAAAACTATTATTACTTCAAAGTTAAGTAACAATGGGACTTTGTTCTGAAAAAAAAAGTATTAAAAGATTAATAAATGGTAAAAATTCACTAGATTGATTAGATAAGCTTGTCAGGACCAAACTGAGAAAAGGAATTTAAAAAAAATATATAAATATTTTTTAAAAATTAAACAAAATTTATTTCTTAATTTTACTCAGTCACATTTAGATTTTTTTAAACATTTAAAGGACTTGTATTAAATGACCAATAAAATAAATATTACAAAACATTGAATTGTAGGTATTAAAATACTGTACATACTGAATGATTTTCAAAAATCTCAAGTTACAACGATCCGATTTGAAAAATAACTAATATTCTTTAATTAACAAGGAAAAGGAAAAAAAACCAAAATCAGTGCGAAAATCACAACCGTTTATCACTACTCTTTATCACAAGTGTTTGTTCTTCAGATGGTGAAGCGTGTACCATTTTTTCTTCTTTTTAATCTCTTTCTCACTTTCGTCCAGGTCTTTGTCGAGATCGAGAGTTTTAAGGCTGTTCCGCTTGTCTTTTTTCTTTTTCTGCTTTTTAATCGGCTTCGATTGGACCTCTTGGCCGATATCTGTAACAAAATATAAAATTTATTGGATACTCGGAATGAAAGTATTTGGGGATTTAATTAGTTAATTAGAGTTTTCTATATGAATAATTTATAACAATAGTTAGGATTAATTTAATTAGAGGCATTCATAGTTTAATTACTCATATTTATCATACATACACTCACTTTGTTTACATTGGAATTAACCAAGTGTTACATTACAGCATGCAAGAATTGATTAAAATCATAAACCAGACCCAAATGGTTCAACTTTCACTGAATTCCAGACTTACACCCATTTTCTTTATACTGTCTACTACCTACTTAATTACCGCCCTTAAAAATTTTAAACAGGAAAAAGGTTAAATGTTGAAACAGCTAAGGTCCCGGGTACTACAAAAGGGCTTTTTTTTTTTCAAAAACACCTCTGTCCTGAGGGTTCATACAACCTCATAGTCGAAATATGAAAAAGGAATGAATTATGTAAGATAACGATAGATAATAAGGTAGTTTGATTTCTCAAGACTAAATTAAGTACAAAAGTAACCATTGGACAAATGAGAAAACGATGCAGAGCAAGCATTAGGCACCAAAGAAGGTATTTTGAACATTTTTTAAGTATTTTATTTCATTATAAAGAGATCTCACTTAATAATCTTCTCCTATCCTTTTTTCCGTTTATATCAATGATCTACCCGGCTCCATCCAGTCCGGTAACTATCACCTACATGCTGATGACTCCCAAATATACGTATCCTTCCACCCTTCCGATCTTCACTCGGCCATTCTCAACTAAACTCCATCAACGAATGGGCCCATAAAAATTCCCTAGTCCTCAATCCGTCCAAATCCACCGCCATAATTATCGGGTCCAGGCAACTAATCAATTCCTTCCCCATCATCCCACCTCTCATGCTAAATAACCATCCCATCCCCTTCTGCTCTTCGGTTAAAAACCTAGGAGTAGTCTTCGACCAAAACCTTTCCTGGCATTCTCACATTTCCCAAATTTCCCGCCATTCCATTGCCTCCCTCAACCTGTTTCGTCGGTCCTGGCTTCTCTTACCTTTCTCCACCCGCAAACTCCTTGTAGCTTCCCTTATACTTCCCTTCTTCGATTATAGCTGTTTGGCATACGGTGATCTCTCGGAGGGGGAGAACGCGCGATTGAAGAGTATTATCAATTGTTGCGTAAGATTTGTGTACGGCACCCCACGGGGATCCCGGGTGTCGGGGTTGTATTCCCAACTTTCCTGGCTATTCCCCTCACAGAATTTCCTAGGTTGCTTTCTTTTCCAGTCCATCCACACTCGTCATCCTCCTTACATCCATCCAATCCCTCCAATTCAAGTCCTCACATCTCACTCGTAAGACCCGCTCATCCCCAATCGACCTTATCCTTCCGCAACATACAACCCATACCTTCGAAAGATCATTTCTGATCTGAGCCCCTAAACTCTGGAACTCCCTTCCCCTTTCTATTCGTCACGCTGCCTCCTTTTCCTCCTTTAAATCCCACCTGTATAATCACCTCCTCCGTTAACATTTGTTATTTTTGTTTAATATTCTCATAATTTTTTCTTCTGTCCTGCCTTATTGGTATACATTGTGCCAAGATTTCTATCTTTTTTTTTTTTTTTACTTTTAACTTCATAAAAGGAACTTCTTTTATTTATTTCATGTAAATTATTCTTAGGGGACACCAGTCCCAGAATAAAGTTATTTTTCTTCTTCTTCTTAATCTTATATAATTCATTCCTTTGTTTAAATACTGCATCATCAACAAAGCTGTTTAAAATTTTCAAATTCGCACAATTCACTCCTATTTGGTATGCGTTAAATTTACACATTTACTTACTTTTTAACATTCCAGATTGATTTTACTGTTGAAAGGATGACATTTTTGGAACTTAGAATACACCATAAGAAAGTTTATTAAATTAAGAAATTTTTATGATGTTTGGCACACCAATTTTGTTGATAAACAGTTATTTTTGGACATTTAATATACAGGGTGTCCCAGTTCCTTCTGACGAAACTCAGGGAATCGATTCTACTCTTCGTTTGGAGCAAAAAATGCTCAGGAGAAAATTTTTGGAAAGTTCTCTATTTTGAAGATATTCGTCAATTTAGGTTTTTTCAACTTTTCACTACCTTACCACATAAAAACGCTTACAACTTCCAAAATGTTGAGACTACAATAAATCCAATTGCACCATTTGAAAGAACGCTAAATTTGCTGTAAGATACTTCTATTTGCAATAATCTGAATGACATAAAATTAAGTAAGTTGATGTCCGAGTGGATCGAGGTCACGATAGCTCAAGTGGTAGATCAGCGGCGTATCTAGCCGAAGATCGTGGGTTCAAATCCCGCTCGTGCCATTAACTTTTTTTCATCTCAACTAAAAATCTTAATTAAATGTAAAATAGAGAACTTTCCGAAAATTTTCTCCTGAGCCCTTTTTGCTTCAAACGAAGAGTAGAATCGATTCCCTGAGTTTCGTCAGAAGGAATTGGGACACCCTGTATAATATTTAATAATTCTTTGTATTGGGTTGAATTAATAAACATACAGTGGCATTTGATAAGATTAAAAATAGTTCCTTCTTATAGAAAATTTAATGGAGAATTCAAAAATGTGGTTAAAAATTGGAACAGGTGCTCTAGAACTTGAAAAAATGCCAATTTATGGTTTAAGGTTGGAATTTTTAGAAAAAAAAGAAAAAAAAAGTAAAAATTCATAACTTCTGACCGGATTGAGATGGAACAGTTCGGTTGGTTGCATTTTACTCTATTTAAGATGTACTATAACCCAATTTTTTTTTCTTCGGTTTTATGCTGGACCACTCAATACATTTATATTGATACTCTGAACCCATCTGGCACTAATACAAAGTGTGAAAGTTTCACCAAATTGGTTCAGTAGTTTTTTTAGTTTAGATTTCTTTTTCTTCAGAATCATTGCTGCGGTGGAAAATACATAAATGGACGACGTAAATAAAATAAATCTTATTATAAGACCAACGCCACCGGTGACCCCATGGGAAAAAGAAATTACATGCAAATGAAAAATTTATCAATAGTTTTCAAAATTAATTATTACATTTATCTGCCGTATTTACACAAGCTTTACTTTGAATAAATAATCATAAAAACCTCATATTGTCGATGAATTATAATTGCCATTTTATGACGTCATAAACGGTTAATACACATGCTTAAAGAGGAGCAATTAAACCTGTTAAAATTGAATTTATGAATGTTAATGTATTTTATTAGTCGGTTATTAAGTGAAACAGTTAGATAGTTGTCAAACCTTACTTTGAGTGAATATACCTAGGGATAAGCTGATGCTTTTATCCTCTTCGGCTTCGCGCAGTCTGTCCATTTCTAGACACTGAACGATCGCATCCCTCCTTTCTACCACTTCGACTAGCCTGCAATGTAAATTTTGAAATTTTGATAAATTGATTTAAGAAAAAAAATTATAAATAAGCGTCACCTCTGAATTAATTGTTCTTCGGTTTCTTTGTCCGAATCAGTTTTGTTGACTTCAGGCCTCGCCATAAGGCACCTGATTTGATATTCTAGCTCGGCGTGCTCTTCTTCTAGGTTATGCTGACGCCTCCTGTAAATAACAACGCTCAGTTCAAATATTCCAAAATACTCAAGTGTAAATGGAAATTTTATAATCTCGTGTAAATTAAAAAAACAATATACATCGTGGTCAGGCTCGCCGTATTAAAAAAAAAAGAAAAAAAATTCAGGCCTATTCTACACAAGCGCCCAAAATGTGGTATTTGGCCTCCTGCCTCTTGTTTTTAATGGTTTTTATACAGAGCATTTGAAACGCATGCTATGAAATGCAATGCAGTTAGTTTCAAAATGAACCCTTTTCAGGTAGAATGTGTTACAGGGATTTTAATGTTGAAGCAACTTGGGAGAAAAAATTTTGGATTTCTGTCCAACAATTTGCCTTCGCTTGTTTATTTGAATATTCCTTTGAACTAATTGCATAAATAGGTGGTCGTAACTCTACTTTGCAAATGAATTTCTCGGAGTCGAACATCACCACATAAACATGTCATCAATATCAAGTTTTTCCCCACATCCTTATCCCAACACACCAACATATTCCAAGCCTTCAACACTCAAAACTTTAGCCTTATTGTTCAGATTTGCAAGGGCAAGACTTTGAACTGACTGAATTTGCTTCCCCGGGAAGTATGTTCTGTTTCCTTAAAGGCTTGTTTCAGGTCCTGTAATCGGAGTTTTTGAAAATGACCTCAATCATCTAATTTTCTTCCCTCTTCCTTTTCTTTTTCATCTTTTTTACTATTATTATTGCTCTTATTAGAGGTATTTTACTATGTTTATAAATTCACTAGTTTTCGTGGTCCGCTTGACCAATTAATATCTTTCAATTAATTAAGGTTTTTTGTTGAGATAAAAAAGTCAGTGTCACGAGCGGGATTTGAACCCACGATCTTCGGCTAGATACGCCGCTGCTTTACCACTTGAGATATCATCACTTCGATCCACTCGGACACCAACTTCCCATCTCAACCTCACCTTTTGAATTTTCCCTCCTTTTTGCCATTTTTCAAATCTCATGTAACCTATTTGATTCTCGGCGACCAATGAAAAAATCAACATTTCTAGATGAAGTATACAGAATGTTACGTTACAACAAAAATCAAACACAATCTCTGCAAACAAAATAAAAGAAATATCGAGCAGAATTTATGACTCACGGGAATATAAGATTGTATTGCTTTATTGGACGCATACGAATGACTACTGTTGGGAAGCGCTGATGCCTGGTTGCCAGGGGGCGACCCCGAAGTCACACCTCCGCCTGCAGATGTTGCAACTAGATTTCCCATGCTTGGCTGCGACCTTCCGGAATTGGGTCCTCCTTGTGTCCTCCTGATGTTCTCTTCAGTGTAGTCCAATATCTTCCTCTTTGACAAGAGTTTGTAGACCTGCTGCTTGTCGTTCATTTTTCACTGCAATAAACGCTATTCCACCAACAATGGATCGCTGCAGGCCGGATTGGATATGCTGGAAAAAAGTATTTCCGCAGATTGTAGGGAATAAGAGCGCCCCGGTGAAAACCCTTGAGCAGCTCATTCTATCAGTCATGGGATTCTCTGTTATAGCACCTGACTCATTTCTCTTGGGTGCTGGAAGAAGGTAGTTCAAGATCAGCAGACTCGGTGATGTTTTTCTGAGAAAGAGGAGAAGTGAGTCCTCCCAGTGGAACATTTTGAGAACGATGAGGCTGATGGGTATAGTGGGTAATCCTGTAAGCAGGACGGCAGGTTCCATCCTTTCCATGAGCTGAGTAGCTTCTGCCTGGACGGCTACCTGCATAACTGTTACAGCTCCGTAAGTGACTGCAGTCCAATAGAGAGAACCGACAAGTATGCTGGCTGCGATGAAGGGGCACATTCTGTACATCAAGTCATCTGCTCTATCAAGTATGACAACTAAACTGTTTGCTTTCGGGAAATAAATAAGGTATTCTGTCTTGCACTGGGGGCAAATGACCTTCGACTAAAGCTCTCCGTGGCCTTTTCATTTGTTGCCGAGAATCCAATCCGATTACACGACATTTGAAAACTGGCAAAAAGGAGGGAAAATTCAAAAGGTGGGGTTGAGATGAGAAGTTAGTGCCTGAGGGGATTGAAGTCACGATAGCTCAAGTGGTAGAGCAGCGGCGTATCAAGCCGAAGGTCGTGGGTTCGAATCCCGCTTGTGACACTGACTTTTTTTTATCTAAACTTAAAACCTTAATTAATAGACAGTTCAACTTTAAACCGTGAATGACAGACCAATATTAATTTTACTTTACTCAGTCCAAAAGCCTAGCAGTACAATTTGCAGTATAATTCGGCCATTCTGGTAAGGCTATCCTCGCCGGGTGACCAAAATGATCAGTAATGACCAAATTAAAGTTCCATTATCCCGCAGAAAACACAAAGAAATCTCACAAGTATAACATATACTTACAAATACATCAACTCGGCTTGTTTCCTAAACAATTCGTTCTTTTCATTGACTAGTTCGAACAGCTGGAGGACTAATTCTTCCACGTAAGGAGATATACTTTCTTCTGAAATTTCAAGAAATGCAATTTAGAATATATTATTTTTCTGTTATTGTTATGAGTCAAGTCCTAACCTGTGTCAAACTTATCCCTGATTTTGTTTTCGAGAGCTACTCCTTGTCTTTCAAGACCTTGCTGTTTTATTTCAATGTCTTTCAGCTCTTGCTTTATGTTTTGAATGGGCATCGGTTTGACCGTCCGCCTCTTTGGCAGGGGCAGAGGCGGCGCTGGTGCTTTCTTCCTTCGCCACTGACCATGCGTGCTTTTATTAGGCGTTGTGAATGTTGCCCCTCTCTCTTCTGATAAAAAAATTAGTTAATTTTTGTTTAAATTTACAAAAAAAAAAATTAATATTACCTGATATCTTCTGATGTAAGTTGGCAAAGTCTTTACTTTGTTTTTCTGTTGGGGAATTAATGTCTTCTTGATAAGTCAGGCTGTCGACGTTAGACGTTGATGCTGAAGGAGTGGGCGATATGCTGCTCAATGTTACCTCGTTAGAAGATATTTCTAGTCTTCTGGGTTTGGGAGGAGGTGTTTGTGGTATAATAATTTTCTTCGAGTCGAACGCCGTATTTTCTTCGACCTCAGATGTCACAGATTCATCTAATGTACATTTCATATCGCCCGATTCCAAAGGCTCATCTGTGGATTTTCTTTTACTCTCTTCGTTTTCTTTATTTTGTGCGTCTGCCATAGCCGATATCTTCTCGGCGATGTTGGAAATTTCTGTGGTGATCTCGTCATCCTGGATTCCTTTGACTGAGTTTTGATCGCTGCTTAAAATGGATTGTGAATCTTCGGATGCCTTAGAAGAAACTTCTGTAGACAGCGAGAGTCTCGATGAACCTAAACTAGGAGGCAAAGGAGCTCTTTTGGTTTTCCTCGACCTAGGACTCTAAAAAGGCAAAATTGATTATTTTTATTGCATTCGTGTACGTGTGTGTATGACCTACAGTTAATGAAATACTGGGCGATACAGGAGGTGGAGGTGCAGGCCTCTTCTTCCTCGGTGAAGTATGAGATCCCATAGAAGACATAGAACATAAAGATCTCTGACTTCCTCTCCATTTAGTTCTAGGAAATGGCACTGGCGAAGAGTGAGTATTTCTTCTAAAAATGATATGAAATTATAATAAATCAAATCATAATTATGGATTGTTTTATTTGTAAATTTAACTACCTTGGCAATGGCACTGGAATTTGGGTATCGTCTTCTTCATCTGACCCAAACGGGTTTTGAGATGATGCTTTGTGGATTGGTGAAATGGCTTCGGCCAGTTTTTCTGGAGATTTTGATTTAATTTCTTCATCTTCAGTGTCAGAGTCAAACGGGTTTGTACTCGTCTTTGAATTTTCAACTGATTTTTCTTCTTCATCCTCATCGTCTCCGAACGGATTGAAACCGCTCGGATAATCAGATTCTTTTCCTCTCAATTTATCTTCAGCCGGCTCTTTCACTATTTCCACTGTCGGTGATTTCGAAGTGAATGAGCTTACATTTTCCTCGACGTTTATGGATACATTTATCGCCTCAATAATTTTATGGTTTTCTTGTGTTTCTGTATCGTCGCTTTTGATTTTTAAATCATCAGTATGTACAGTCAATGACTTGTTATCACCTAAAGAAGTGGGTTTATCTTCTAAAGTTTCTTTTAAATCTACCTTATCATCAGATTCGGTGACTACTTTATCCGAATCGATTTCTACGTCTGAACATATAACTTTATCTACCAAAATATTCACATTGTTATCTAAACTATTCCTATCGTTAACCTTACTATCGGTATGATTTAATTCAACACACAATGGAGAATCTTCATTCTTACAATCTACGTTTGTATGTACACTTTCTTCACTATTTTTTCTGAACTGATTTTGTGAACTAGAATCATCGTTATTAGAGAGATCATTCTTACTATCTTCTATGCTATTTACATCATCTGTGGTTTTGTTCTCACACCGGTTCAACTTGGCGTCGTCGGTGTCTTTATTGTAGGAATCAAACAACATTTTCCTCATAGCGACTAATGAAGATTTTTGGGAAGGAGTCGGTTCGATAGACTGGGGCCTTGTAAGATTTATGACCTGCTCGATCTGTTCTTCTTCTCGGATGCTTGGAATGACGATCGGCGGCTCTGCGGAGTGTTCCATGTCTTCATCCGGACAAGTCTCGCAGCAGTACTGACCGTCGTGGGTTTCGTAATAGTCGGCGGTGCTCAATTGTGCATTACAACGTGCGCAACGAAAACATGTTCTATGGTACAATTTCCCTTCTACACGGAGTCTCTGTGCTAAAAATACAGCGTGGTCACAAATGACACAAGGCTCCTTCCACGGTGGCGTTCCTTCCTGAAATCGAAACAGAAAATGTTCAAGTATTAAAACAAAATTTTGATAAAAGGTGATTGAGTGTTGCTTGAAGGTTTTATCAATAATGTAATTTTAATACAACTGCAAGCCAGCCCCTGTCTAAGCATAAGTTAGGAATATTTGTTATAAGTTAAAAATAGTTACAAGTAATATCAAACTCTTGTTGGAAATAAGGGTGTAGGTTTGACGGGTCACCCATTTGATAAGGAGCAAAAAGGCATTTCCCACAAACATGTAAGTCATAGAAACATGACTGCCGAATAATCTGTACACTACATAACGAAAGCCAAGGAGTTATTTAATGTAGGAAAGTTGTCGCAGATACATTCTTCCAGGTGTGGGACACCTCAAATTTGGGGTCATGTTATCCAGGATAGCGTTTACACTCTGTTGGAAGTACATCAGGTACTAGGAGGCTGTGTAATAGAAACTCCTGAGAATTATGAATCATTGCACAGACAACCCTTGCAAGAAGGAGTTGACCATCAGGTCGATCAATTTTGAGCTTTACCTTGCCTCCCTTACCCTTATTGGAAAATGAGTATAAAAGGGGATGATTAGAAAAGCAAAGTCAATCCAAGGACTCAATCAACTCAGGGACTCAGTAAAGACCAGTCAATACAAGGAGACTCAATCGACTCAGGAACTTAGTGAAGACCAGTCGATCCAAGAACTCAATCAACACAGGAACTTAGTCAAGACCAGTCGATCCAAGGACTCAATCAACTTGGGGACTCAGTCAACACCAGTCGATCCATGGACTCATCTACCCAGGGGCTCAGTCAACACCAGTTATCCAGGGACTCAATTGACTCAGGAACTTCAAGAACTCAATCAACACAGGAACTTAGTCAAGACCAGTCGATCCAAGGACTCAATCAACTTGGGGACTCAGTCAACACCAGTCGATCCATGGACACATCTACCCAGGGGCTCAGTCAACACCAGTCTATCCAGGGACTCAATTGACTCAGGAACTTAAGGACTCAATCAACTTTGGGACTCAGGCAAGACCAGTCGATCCATGGACTCATGAACTCAATCAACTGATCCAGCGTCTCAATCGACTCAAGGTCTCAGTGAAGACCAGTCGATACAAAAACTCAATTGACTCAGGAACTTAGTCAAGACCAGTCGATCCATGGACTCATCTACCCAGGGGCTCAGTCAAGACCAGATTATACAAAGACTCAATTGACTCAGACAAGACCAGTCAATCCAAGGACTCAATCAACTTGGGAACTCAGTCAAGACCAGTCGATCCAAGGACTCATGAACTCAATCAACTGATCCAGGGACTCAATCGACTCAAGGTCTCAGTGAAGATCAGTCGATACAAAAACTCAATCAACTTAGTCAAGACCAGTCGATCCAAGGACTCAGTCAACACCAGTCGATCTATGGACTCATCTACCCAGGGGCTCAGTCAAGACCAGATTATAAAAAGACTCAATTGACTCATGGACTCAGACAAGACCAGTTGATCCAAGGACTCAATCAACTCAGGGACACAGTCGAATAGGGCAGACTTTCGAGGATCAAGGAAGCTGCAGGAAAAAGATCCTGGAAGACGCTGAAGCTGATGTTGGCAAGTATTATTTGGGGTAAGTCCTATTGTGAACTAGGCTCATCTCCAGAGTTAGAGTTGTGTGGATTGATTTGTTTGACATTTTTTGCTACCATATGAAGACAGACTCTCATGATCTCTCTGGTTTGTTGTATTTTTAAAACTTATCTTCTCTCCACACAGAAAGTAGTTAAGAACGTATACTGGATGTTCTACGATCGCTTAGTGTTAAGCCCATAGAGCTTTGGGGCCTGATTACACGACAATAAAAATTAAAAATTAAAGTTGTGAGTGTTATTGCACATGTGTCCGGTCACACACTGGACAATCGCAAATAACTCCACCCTGCTGATGGTTGGGGGAAAAAAATTGCCTAACATCAAAACCAAGAAATGTAGGCTAGGCAGACTCAGTGCCAGTTCAAAAATAAAAATCCCAAACAAATAAAAATAAAAACAGTATTCAAGAATGAACGAGTGACCTGTAGTGTAAAGATGATGATTACGAAGGATCTAATAAGGGTCGACAGCTTAGCGACAACTCTAATTTGTACTGTTTGACCCTTGTATGACCCTTCATCATCATCTACTCGCAGTCTTGTTATTTAATGTTCAAAACCTAACATTTCCCTTTTACACAGTTAATTGATACAATCCTTTAAACCAAAGGATTGAACAATCTAAAATAATTAATTTAAACTTTAATTAGATCATCAAATTTGAAAGATCAATGAAAATTTAAGAAGCTTATCAAAATGTTACAAGGGGGGAACAAATATTTTTAGGAAAATAATCAATTTAAACGCTTAAACGAGCAAATTAAAGGCAGCACTAAAAAATTAAAAGAAAAATGAAACATTTCTGTTGAATTTTGTTAAATGACACTGGGCATACCCTCAGACTTTTGAATTGAAAAATGAAAAATTCACCCTGCTTGTGATGTAAGTTGTAAATGACTGTGACAGTCGTACGCTACTGAACTGGAAAATTTTACATATTCATATTTAATTTTAAAAAAAAGAAAAAATCCAGCTGTAAAAATTAAATTTGATAAAAACATACAGATGAAATTGGTCGGCCATTTATTTTTCGCTTAAAAATAAAAGTGGAAAGTGTTTGTGCATATTTATTTACGCTAGGATGTATCAGTTGATTAAAAGAGGTTTGTTACTTTTTATCGCAATGCCAATAAATAATAATGGTCGGAAAAAAAATTAACATGCAACTTTGCTCAATGTTATTCTGGATGTTTGTCAAATCGTTTCTAAATACTGTGCGTAGGCATATAGCAAAGGCGAGAGAGAAAAAAAAATTAATCTGCAGTTCTATCAAATTGTAACAAAGGAAATGCGACAAAAAATTATTTACTCAAAACCCGTCAATCCGAATGGGTGAATCTGTTGTGAATTGTTTCCAAACATTTCAGAACCATACAGTCATTCGTGTGGTCGCAGCATTGAAAATTAGGTGACTGAGGTAAAAGGGGGGTTCAAGGATAGGCCAGAGTACAAAGCCGACCTTACGTCAGTCTGTTTCATTGTGATAAAGCCCCACCTTTATTTTTTAAATATTCATTCTTATTATCTTATTTTTCCCCCTTTTGTTAAAAGTAAAACATTTTATTTTTCAAGAAAAATACAATTTATATTTATTTAAAGCTGAGTGAAGTGCCAAATCATTGAAGTTTTCTTAATGGATTTAATTGAATCTATAAAATTAAATTAAATCTGTACATATTTAACTAGTTTAATATATTGATTGTTTTCCTATAAAAATACAACTGCGAATTAATTGTAATGATAAAATTAATTGCCTGTGATCCTCGCAGTTCAATATTTAACAAGTTTTTATAATTGTTACCTGGCTTTGATTTAAAAATTGTTTCAAGTCGAACAAGGCCGTGTTGCATTCACAATGCGTACTGTTAGTTCGCAGTCGACTGAGGATTCTAAAAAACTGATAGATTCCAACAGGATATGTTATGAAGGACAGGAAATAGTTTGTCTCAGGACAATAATGAACGTATCACAGCCCATGAATGACAAGTACGCTTCCAGTTTCAGCCCACGCTTTTATCGCGACCGACACGTCAAAAGACAAGTGTTCACTCGCAAATGACAACAGAAAATACTCGACACGAAAATAGATCATGCAGACTGATTCTATAATTAGATATGCAAACGTTATTTCAAGAAGCAGGACTGTGACACACCGTCATGTCTATAATTAACACACAATCACATGCATGCACGAAGCCTTTTAAATTATAATACAACATTTAAATATTAAAAAAAAAAAATTACCTTCTAGCAGAATATTTCTGGTTTGTACTGCCCCATAAGGTCGAGTGAATCTTCCTATTGGACAGAACAACGTGGGGTTAGTGCACAAGCCAGAGAATGACAAAGGAAGATTGTCCTTTTCAAATGTATATGGAAGGGGTCACTTTGTTGCACTGAATTATTCACTTACCAAATTACAACTTACGATTTTTTTTTAAACAAAAAGAAAAGATGGTGCAACAAAACGACGCACAAACAACAAACACTGTGATGACATTTGCATAGAAAAATGTAATTAAAACATGTATAAATTACCAAAAAAAAAAACCTTTTGGATAGTGTGAATGATTCTCATGCAAGGAATAAAAAATAAAAATGCACAAACCTTACATTCTCTGACTGGTAACAGAAAAAAAACTATATGATACAATATGAAATAACAAAGTAAAATCAATCCTGTGAGTAAAAGTCCATGAAATGGTTATCAATAAGATAAGATAAGACTTCCAATTTTGATTAACAAGAAGACTAAGACCAGTTTATGTTGACTAAATCTCAAGTTACAAACTCTTTAAATTAGTTCGTCTTAAACATGCGAATTAACAATGCCTAGTTTATACATTCAACACTATATTTGAGAAAATAACATTGTTTTATATAAACTCATAGGCAAAAAAATATCGGACACTCATATTTTACTGTTTATTTCAAACTATACGAATTTTTATTTTTATATTAATTACAACACACTTATTTTAATATAAACCAAATTAAAACATCATGAATTTAAATAAAAATGATTTAATTATATTATTTTAACTAATTCACCAAAATGCTTGAAAATTTTTTATTTGTAATAATGTATTACCTCCTCTGGCCTCGCTGAGTTGCTAAGTCTCTTAGGCATCGAGTAACTAAGATCAAATTTCATCTTGTGAACGATGTCTAACCCGTCTCTATATCATGTCCCATAAGTGTTCTATGGGATTCATATAAAGAGGGCATGCTGGCCAATTCACTGTGGTAATCCCTACATCCTCCAGTAATGGGTCATACTTGAACTACAAGCAGTCAGGACCTATGCTTTCTGATGGTCATCCTTTCATAATGGACTGTTTGGAGTTGACTACCGAGGAAGCCGTTAAATGAGTTTTGTAGAGAAATCGAATACTATCACTTTGGTTGAGACTTCCAGTGGCTGTAAACTGCTGTAGACCATTGTGGATGGTTCGGCGCGGCACATTCTTCAACAAGACCGGTTTCAAGCTCAAAACTTGTTGGAGGCTTCGAACGATGTCTAATCCATCTCTATATCATGTCCCATAAGTGTTCAAGTTTGGAGAAAACGCTGGCCAATTCATTGTGGTAATCCGAACATCCTCCCACCCAGTAATGAGTCAAACTTGAAGTACATGCAGTCAGCATCAAAGCTTTCTGATGATTGTGTTACTGCTCACCCTTTCATAATGGATTGTTTGGAATTGACTATCGAGGAAACCATTAAAAGACAGTTTTGTAGTGAAATCGAATACTATCACTTTGGTTGAGACTTCCAATGGCCGTAAACTGCTGTCGACCATTGTGGGTGGTTCGGCGTGGCACATTCTTCAACAAGACCGGTTTGAAGCTCAACGTTTGTTAGAGGCATCGAACGATGTCTAACCCTTCTCTATATCATGTCCCATAAGTGTTCAAGTTTGGAGAACACGCTGGGCAATTCATTGTGGTAATCCCTACATCCTCCCAGTAATGGGTCATACTTGAACTACAAGCAGTCAGCACCTAAGCTTTCTGATGATTGTGTTACAGCTCACCCGTTCATAATGATTGTTTGGGGTTGACTATTGAGGAAGCTGTTAAATGACAGTTTTGTAGTGAAAACGAACACTACCACTTTGATTGAGACTTCCAGTGGCCGTAAATTGCTGTAGACCATTGTGGATGGTTCAGCGTGGCACATCCATTCTTCAACAAGACCGGTTTGAAGCTCAACGCTTGTTGGAGGCGTCAAACGATGTCTAACCCGCCTCTTTATCATGCCCCTTAAGTGTTCTACGGTATTCAAGTTTGGGGAACATGCTGGCCAATTCGCTCTGTTAATCCCTACATCCTCCAATGAGCAATGACTCGGTCGAGCATTGTCAAGCATTAACACAAATTTGTCCCCAATAAAATAGGACCTAAGCTTCCAAAAGTACTTCCATAATGTAGTTCAGGTCCATAGGTACGATAATCAGTTCGGTACGGGGATGGATGTTGATTCCACCTCATAAATGACTGCCTTTGAAAAGGCTGTGACTCAAACATGGCACATGAAGTAAAACGTCTTCCATGTCTTCACACACGGTCCTAGTCATCTAATCGCACCAAACCAAACCAGCATTCATCTGTGAAGAGACAACTCCTCCATTGTTCAACTTTACGAGCAAGGCACTGATTTGCAAAAAGTCGATTTTTACCCAATGAAGCAGGACATCTTGAGAGTTCTGATTGAGTTGACAATTCTTGAAGAGTTCTGATTTCAAAGCTCGCCGTTACATTATGGACTGTTTGGAGTTGAACACCTATCAAGGAAGCCAACAAATGGTAGTTTTGTAGTGCGATTGTCCACCGCCTCTCTCTTTGATTATCATGGATTGTAGAGTGCGGGGCACACCCAATACTTGGGTTATGTAACGGACGCTATGTCGTCAGCCAAAGCATCTGCCCGGTCAAGATCTTCTCGACTTAAAACCATGCTTTTAAGGGGAAAAAAATGTGTGGTGTTTAGTGACTGTTAGTCAATGGTTATTTGGAGTTCATGAGATGCGGTCTGGTGTGACGTAGGTTTTAGAGAAACGTTTTCTTTATCGTGCCAACGTTTCGATCTTTATTGAGATCATCTTCAGGGCTCAGTGTTTGTTTTCTGTGTGCCATTCAGGGCACTCTCAACGCGACACACAATAATGACACATCTACACAGAAAACAAACACTTTGAGCCCTGAAGATGATCTCATTAAAGGTCGAAACGTTGACACGATAAAGAAAATGTTTTTCTAAAACCTATGTCACACTAGACTGCATCTCACGATCTACAAATAGCCAAAAATAATAACAATGAATAGATTTTCTTTATTTTTAGTCTAAAGAGTGCAAAAGGATTAGCAACACTAAAGGTAAACAATAAGTTATTGTTGTCTTTACATTTTATTAAGTCAAATATTAATGAAGATTTAGAGATCGCAAGATGCTGTTTTGTGTGATGTCGGTTTAGAAAAAGATTTTTAGAAAATTTCTAAACCTACGTCACACCAGACCGCATCGCACGATCTCTAAATAATCGTAACTTAACAGTCACTAAATATTTCACGTAAATTATTAATCTTTATACCTAGATATTATGAAAAATAAACAAATAAATACAAGTGCCCATTTTTTTTGTTGCCTTTCAGTGTACTTTTGAACAGTTATTAAGTTGAGAAAAAAAAAAAATAGCGCTTTTTAAAAATTCACACTTTCTATACAGCATTTAATATCGAAACTAATTTATTACAGAAATATTAAGTTGAAATCCAATTTTACAGCTATAAATTTAACTTATTTTAATCATCTTTAAGTTAATAATTTTTCAGTCCCATTTATTAAGTTTTGTAACATGTCAAATAATTTAACAAAAGTGTAAAATTAAAAAAAAAGGCAACATACATATTTATAACATTATTGCCAAAAAAATATGTACATAATGAAAGAAGCAAGATTGGAATATTTACTGTTTGATATGAAAGTACAAAATATTGTTGTGCAAACCAACCCCACATTGTCAAAAGAGAAATATTGCCAAGCATAACTTTTTCTTTTTTTTTAAATTTTCATAACAAAATATTCATGCAGAAATAAATTTTAAAACATTTAAAAAAGTAAACATGCGAAAGTATTTAAATATAGAAAAACATAATCACACTACACCAATTTCAACAAGCAGAATTCTAGTACAAATTAAAACTAGAAATGCATCATATCTGCCTCACAGTGTTTGAATTCTAGTTTGTTTTTTTAAATATAATTTATCTATTGGTACTAAACAAGCTCAAGAAAATTGGTCTAGTTAGAAGTTTTTATTCCAAGTGCCCTTCACAAAAGTTCAAAGCATTAAATATAAATACACAAACCAATTAATTTTGAAAATTACCATTTTTGGGGCATGCTGTACGTTGCTTTGAGTCAGTGACGTCAAAGAAGTATCGGGTGATTCTGACGATTGTTTTTTAATTGGCGATGCATCTAGAAAAATAAAAGTAATTAAAAAAAAAAAACCTTAACAAATTATATTGAATGCATGCTGAGTGATTTAGAATAATGCTTGGTGTTCAATTTTGTGCATTTTTTGACGATAAAACTTTATTCCATGTTTATATTACACAGCTGAATCAGCGATTCGAAAAATTCACTCTTAAACATTCCACAGTTCATTGGGAATGCACTCGAGGACAGAATTAGTCAAAGTTCATCATCAAAACATGTCCTCTGTGGTGTGAAGTCTGAGATTCTGAGAAAAGAAAATCCAAGACTAAACCGTTGTCACGGGGAGATTTTAATAAAGCTTTAGGAGTCTGGTAAAAAGCCTGAAGTCTAGCAAAGAGCTCTGGCGAAGCTGAGATGTTTAGATGTCTCTCTTTTATCCTTAACGACAGACAGCTCGTTATTTCTTATGATATTGGATTTGTCCCAACTGGAGAAATCACTAAAGGACCATCGTAGTTCAACTAATGACTAGAATGTGTTATGACTAGAATGATAGCAGGACTGCAGATTCCAGAGACAACATAGGCTCGATCAGCGGACTCAATCCTATGAAGATATTACAAAGAAGAAAAAACAACAGAACCCCCTGTTGGTGGGACGGTTGAGATTCCAACTCCCGGAAGAGGAAATTCCAAGGCATAAAGCATACTCACGGGAGGTTTTAACAAAGCTTCGGGGTCTGGTAAAAAGCCTGAAGTTTAACAAAGAGCTCATTGATAAGATGGAGAATCGTTAGAACAATATTTGTCATGATGCGCAAGATCCTAAAGAGACTCATTTCAACCGTATTTAACCTTTAAATTAATTAATTTTACAAAATATTCCAAAATTGAACACTATTTTCAGGAGTTTCATATAACAATAGGTGATCTGAACCTGTGAAAATTATTAATTCCATTTCTTTTTAGACTTTTAACATTTGTGACAGTACAGATGTTTGTATGGAGGAGAGGACAAACAATATTACGTATGCGCCGAGGTGCCTGCGAGAATTGTAAGAACTCGCATTTGTATTCGTGGCAGTTTTTGTGACGAAATTTATTGCCTGACAAGGTATAAACAAATTTGTTGATTTACGAGAGATAGCAGAGATATTTGAAACAATCCAGTTTAAAAATTTTTTTAAAAAGTTGTTGATATTTTCATTGTCCACCTTCAACTAGCTTTACGTTTAGTTGAAATGCTGTTTATTTTTGAAAATTTATCATACTTCAATTAATTAATATTTATGAAAGGTATTGGTTAAGATAAAAAAGTTAGTGTCACGAGCCGGATTCTAACCCACGATCTTCGGCTTGATACGCCGCTGCTCTACCACTTGAGCTATCGTGACTTCGATCCACTGGGACACCAATTTCCATCTTAACCTACCTTACAAATTTTCCCTCCTTTTTGCCATTTTTCAAATGTCGTGTAATCTATTTGATTCTCAGCGAAAAATGAAATGGCCACGGAGAGCTTCAGTGAAGTATACTTTATTTTGCTTATTACATTTTATTAGGTTTCATGGTCCGCTTGACCAAATAGATTCGTTTCAATTTATTAAGGTTTTGATTGAGATAAAAAAGTCGTGTCACAAGCAAGATTCGAACCCACGACCTTCGGCTAAATACGCCGCTGCTCTACCACTTGAGCTATCGTGACTTCGATCCGCTCTGACACTAACTTCCCATCTCAACCTCACCTCTCGAATTTTCCCTACTTTTTGCACATTTTTCAATTATCATACTTTTTTTTATACCTATTTAATATAATAGTAGAATAATGTGAAGTAGAATTGAGCCCATATGGACCATTTTTATCACTGAAAACCTAATAATTTTATATAATTAGCACAATTTAAAAGATTTTATATGTTGCTATTTTATATATATAGTCATATAAGAAATAGCATGACGTAAAGATCAACCATAACTTTCTTCGCTGAAATTTTAGTTCACTAGTTTCGTGGTCTGCTTGACCAATTAATAATATTATTCATTAATTAAGGTTTTTAGTTGAGATTAAAAAAAAGTCAATGTCATGTTTTTTTTGTGTCCGAGTGGATCGAAGTCACGATAGCTCAAGTGGTAGAGCGGCGGCATATCTAGCCGAAGATCGTGGGTTCGAATCTCTCTCGTGACACTGACTTTTTTATCTCACCTACAAACCTTAATTAATTGTTAAATTTTAGTTTTAATTTAAATTAGTAGAGTTTAAAACATACTGTTAGAAGCGAATGCTTGGTAGAACTGAGAAAGGTACGTGAGGATAGACAGCCTGTCAGGTACGGGGTACTCTGCCATGTCCTCTGCATCTAGTAAAGCTGGAATGCCTAGGTGCCTCTCTGCTATCCTGAACGCCATCTCGTTATTTTTCAGGATGTCGGATTTGTCCAAACTGGAGAAATCACTGAAATAAAAAATTTAAAAAAACTATTAATAAAATATCACATAAATATGCAATTTGGTTGTTATAACTAATAGTTTTATGAGTATGACGTTGTAGAGAAAGGGCCTGTGACATGTCCCCAATAATAAAATTATTAGCCATCGCTAGCTAATTTCTCTTGAGCACGGTGAGTTCCTAGGGTTTCCCTTTTCACATTTTCAAGAAAATAAGATTTCTTTAATTGTTTATCATAGTTTTATGATGTTTGTTGCAAGAGGCTTGAGCACTTGATATTCCTCCATCACCTTACAAACAAATTATTCATTGAAAGAGTACTATATTCATGCTAATAAATACATTCAATCTTCTGAAACGTACTTTATAGAATTCCTACTCGCTCTATTTGTCAAGCCAAATCAAGCCATTTTTCTCTACATTCTGGATGTATTTGAGGACAGAAATAGTATAATGCTGGTAGTATTGATAATTACACTAATTAAAATAAACCTAATTAGTGATAAAAATATCAAATAATCCACATTTAACATACTTATACTTTTCAGTTGTGAGTTTAAGAAGTCGAACGCAAAGAGGTTTACTGCTTTTTACAAATAATCGATCATTGCTGGTTTTGCTAATTGACTAAAACGAGTCATCTAGACCGATGATTTGTCTAATAGAAATCGTGACAACTATCTTGTCAGCTCAGACAATTGACTCAGGTCAATTTTGCCGTAAATCGTATTGTCAAAAAAAAAAAGTTTCCAAGTGACTTATTGTATCTTTAGTTTAGAGAATAATGAAAAAAATTAAATTATGAAAAAATATGAAGAATGCTAGAGAACAAGTAGAAAGTTTCTTGACAGTTAGTTATACATTGTGTATAAAGTAGGGAAGAATACATTGTGTCACAGGAGGGCTTAACATTCAATTATCCATTGGGTGTCAATTATCGCGTCGTCAGAACCACTTTTACAATACTTTTTTCCCTTCAAATTAATCTGAAAATTAAATTCTAAGGGCTATGCCAGGATTCGAACCCAGGACTATTGTGGCAAATCTGACTTGTCCACCACAGACTCCTATATGTTATAGTGTAATCCATGTATATGTGGACAGTTTGAATGATGGCCTGAACATATGTAACAAGGAAGAAATCCTAGCTAAGAAATATAAATTACCAGACGGCTTTTTTAATAATCGGGATGAGGAATTGGCGTTATGCCGAGCTCTGGAGATTCTTCTGGAACAACAAATACAACCCGGGAAAGTTTGCATAGTGAGACATCATGGGATTCTTTAAAAAAAGAAAAAACCTGTCTATAATTTAAAGAGGCAGATAATATTTGTTTTGACTTAAGATAGATGGCTGGATCATCCACTTTGGTTGGGTAAAAGTCTATTGAGGTGTGTCTGGAATGAAAGGACAGACCAACTTTGCTAGAAAGGCGTCCATATCGCACAAATTAGCCATTGGTATGAAAGAATTCTGGAATAAAATTAAAACTACAGATTGCTGCCATAGAGGAATGGTATTGGAATTGGATCAATTCGGCAAAATAACCAACAATTTTTTTAAAACAATTATGAACTATAATTGGATGAACTATAAATTAACCATGATATTTAGTGGATGTTGGTTTAAAGTTTTTGGTTGAGATGAAAAATTAGTGTCATGAGCGGGATTTGAACCCACGACCTTTGGCTAATAATAACACCCTGTGGCCACTACATTAAGTCGTCCAGAATCGAATCCTGATTACACGACCTTTGAAAATATGGCAAAAAGAGGGAAAATTTGGATGTATGTTGAGATGGGAAGTTAGTGTCCAAGTAGATCGAAGTCACGATAGCTCAAGTGGTTAGAGCAGCGGTAAGCTGAAGGTCGTGGGTTCAAATCCCCCTGTGAAAATAATTTTTCATATCAATCAAAAACCTTAGATAAAAAGAATAATTAATATGGTCAATTATGTTCACTAAACAAATATGGATTAATTTAAAGATTATCTTCACCGATCAAAATAACCCGCAATTATTTAGGCTCATTTGGCTCAAATGGTGCCCAAGATGTTAGAAAGTACTGAGCTGCCCACACCATCTGATTTGTTTCATGTTTTTTTGACTAAAATGTGTATAAAATAACATCTAAATGAAAATCATGCAAAAAATGCCTAAATCAAGGGAAGAAAATGAAAGAAAAACATGAAAAAAATGTAGATATCAAATAATATAACTTTACTTCACTTTTCAGTTGAGATGACACTAGTTTACTTTCCAGTTGTGGTAAGTATAAAAACAGGTTGACACAGGTGGTTCCTGACAATTTAAGTTATTTTGATTGTTTCTTGTTTTGTTGACTAAAATGTGCATAAAAAAACATTTAAATCAAAACTATGCAAAAAATGCCTAAACCAAGGCGAGAAAATGAAAGAAAAACAAGAAGAAAAAATGTAAATATCAAATAATCCAACACTCCTTTACTTTCAATTTTGGTGAGTATAAAAACAGATTGACACAGGTGTTTCCTGACAATTAAAGTTATTTTGATTGTTTCTTGTTTTGTTGACTAAAATGTGCATAAAAAACATTTAAATCAAAACTATGCAAAAAATGCCTAAACCAAGGAGAGAAAATGAAAGAAAAACAATAAGGAAAAATGTAAATATCAAATAATCCAACTCTACTTCACTTTCCAGATGAGGTGTATATATATAAATTAAATAAATAAAATACTAAAAACACGTCGACTAAAGTGTTTCCTGCCAATTAAAAATAATCGTGACCTTTTCATGTTTTTTAATTCACCGAGACGTGCATAGAAGAACATTTAATAAGAATAATTTTAAAAAATATACGAAAATGACTAAATAAAGGGAAGAATGTGAAAAAAAGAAGGAGTTAACAGTTATATGCAGAACTGTAAACAACAAGAAGCACACGGTGTAATTATGCCATTAAAAATATTTCAAAACATTAGGAATAATAGAATAATTGTGTCCATTCTGTAGGCTTATTAAAAGAACAAAAAACAGGTTGATTTTGTAATCTTGCGTGGCAGTCATGCAAATTTTTTTAAATTTTAACATACTCATAAATATCCGTAATTTAACTTTTCTTATTTATGTTTATATGTTGAAGTTTAAAAAATAAAATAGAAAATGGCACAACAGATAAAATATCGTCATATATATAAATTGTATTTGTAAAGAAACTACTCTAACTATAAAAAGGCTTAACAAATGGCACAATAAAAATTATACATAATGGAAAATACGAGGAAAAGTAGCAGAATAGTAAAATAATCCACACCTATGCCAGAGATTTTCCAGTTATGGATGATTTGTGATGAGGTCATACTTCTGGCGGTCACCCAGACCTTGATGATTTAGTTCATCGATTCAAGCCAAAAACAACTTTTTCTCGAGCAATTACGCCTTATTAAGCCACACGGAAAGTATCACGATTAAAAAGACGAATACTTTATTCAAAACTCTAGGCAGTTTTTTAAAAATAATTTCACAACTGTATTTGTGCAAACCAACCGCGGGACAGATACGCATCTGACATTTACAAGTCCGCCTTTTTGAAAAGGTGCAGAGACGTCGAAAGTCGCTCGGCCCCTCTTTAAAACATGACACGGGGCTTCGGGGCGCAACGTTCCCCCTTATGAAATTACTGTTGGACGTAATGCCGGCTGGGACGGGGTTCCCATGTTCTTTGTGGGAAGATCGCAACTGCACAATGGAGTTACGGCCCTCATTACGGCATATTCCGTCATGCTTTAACGTGGGTACACACTTTAATTTACTCAGCCCTGTTAGGAGGGTTACCCGAATACACAGCCGACCGACAGGACTCGACAAAGAGATTTACAAATCTTCCAATCCAAGGGTTTTTATAGTTTTTAATATCTGCCCTAAAAGGCAGGAGATTTAGCTAACTCAGCTTGAACAGTAAGATTCGAACTTCTACTCCTTTTAGCAGTTTCCGTGGAACTCTATACCTTTAATAAGGTGTCAGAACAAATCTTAAGCCTAGTCCAGTCTGTAATCAACATTCTTGATCAATATTTAACATTTTTTAACTGAGAGAATCAACAACCATTTTTTCCAGGTCCAGACATCAAGCAATACAACTGTGCTTCTCAAGTGTGGCTATTGCCTGAATTTCTGCTGCCTGTTTATTTATTTTAATTAACAGCCAAAGATATTAAGAAGAAGGTATGGAGAAAAGGTCAAAGGGGAATCATTAATATAAGGCAGTGGTCGGCAAACCACGGCTCTTTGACTTCTTGGCTGCGGCTCTTTCAATGTTTAGTGCAGACACGGACCGAAAAGTATTACAGTCGCTATTTTTAAAGGAAAAATTAATTAATTCACTACTTTCGTGGTCCGCTTGACCAATTAATACATGACAATTAATTAAGGTTTTTAGTTGAGATGAAAAAAAGTTAATGGCACGAGAGGGATTCGAACCCACGATCTTCGGCTAGATACGTCGCTGCTCTACCACCTGAGCTATCGTGACCTCGATCCACACGGATCGGAAAAATTAATCACGAGATATCGGGTTGTCCGGAAAATAATGCAGGATTTTAAGTTTTCATTAAAAAAAATCTATATAAAATATTCTGTTTACGTTTACAGGATTACTCATTTGTATGAATGTCAACANGGGAAATTATTTTGATTAAAGAACATTGCTTTAAAGTAACTAGTTTCTTTTTTTTTGTTTAATACCAAAATCCTGCATTATTTTCCGGACAACCCAATACTTACCATTGTATTATTCATCAGGAAGCATTATGTGCTCAGACATTTCCTGAAGAATTTGCTCATCAGGTTCAAAGACTTTAGGAACAACAAAGCGACGCGCCTTTTTTTAAAAAAACCTCTGAATGCCACGGTAACATAAATTAATTTTTTTTTTTTGCCCTTTAATATTGATATTGGCAGCTTTGAAATGCACTTGCTGAATTTAAAAAATAAAGAATTTTGGAGCCCAAAATTCGAGCGTCTTTA